CACAGTGACTCCTGTTGTTGACTTAACACATTGATACTCTTGTTTATGGCATCAGTAATCACCCTAGGCTCTTGTCATGAGCTGCCAAGGCTATGGAAGCCCCCTGAGTTCACTGACTCTGATCATTTTTAGACAAGGCCATGGTCAAATGGAAGTTCTCTCCTCCCTTCAGAGAAAGGTACCTCCTTCTTTGATGACCCATTCTTTCCACTGGGATCTCACTCGTGGAGATCTTTCATTTAGGTTTTTTTTCCCCAGAGTGTTTTGGCTTTCCATGCCTGAAATACTCTCATGGGCATTTCATCCAGAAAAGAAATTTATAAAAATGGTCCTTGACAGTCAAGACAAGAGCTGTCCAAGTCATTGCTACTCAAAGTGTTCATTTCACATCTACAGATATCCTTTTAGGTGCTCTATTAGTTGTCACAGATTAGGGAGAACATATGGTATTTGTCCTTTTGGGACTGGCTTATTTCACTAAGTGTGATGTTTTCCAGATCCATCCATTTTGTTGCAAAAATCTGGATTTTGCTTTATTTTTTAATATACCGCTGTGTAGTATTCCACAGAGTACATATGCCATAATTTCTTTATCCAGTCTTCCATTGACAGGCATTTAGGTTGATTTCATGTGTTAGCTATTGTGAATTGAGCTGCAATAAACATGGAGGTGCAGATAACTCTTATTTGCTGATTTCATTTCCCTTGGGTGAATTCCAAGGGGTAGGATGGCTGGGTCGTATGGTAGGGCTATATTCAGATTTCTGAGATATCTCCAGACTGACTTCCATAGTGGTTTTATCAGTTTGCATTCGCACTAAATATGGATTAGTGTACCTTTCCCCCCCACATCCTTGAGAGCATGTGTTGTTTGTTGATTTCTGTATAAAAGCCATTCTAACTGGGGTGAGGTGAAACCTCATTGTGGTTTTGATTTGCATTTCTCTGATGGCTAGTGATCCTGAGCGTTTTTTCATGTGTCTGTTGGCCATTTGGATTTCCTCTTTTGAAAAATGTCTATTGAGGTCCTTGGCCCATCTCTTAAGTGGGTTGTTTGTTTTGTTATTGTGGAATTTCTTAACCTCTTTGTAGATTCTGGTTGTTAATCTTTTATCAGTTGCATAGTTTGCAAATAATTTCACTCATTCTGTTGGTTGCCTCTTCACTTTTCTGTTTCTTTTGTAATACAGAAACTTCTCAATTTAAAGTTATCCCATTTGTTAATTTTGGCTTTGACTGCCTGTGCCTCTGGAGTATTTTCCAAGAAGTCTTTGCTTATGCCTATATCTTGCAGGGTTTCCCTGATGTTCTCTAATAATTTGATGGTGTCGAGTCATAGATTTAAGGTATTTAATCCATTTTGAGTGGATTTTTGTGTAAGGTGTAGGGTAGGCATCTTGCTTCATACTTCTGCATGTGAAAATCCAGTTTTCCCAGCACCATTTATTGAATAGACTATCCTTGCTCCAGGAATTGGTTTTAGCTCCCTGGTGATTCTGTTCTATTCAATTAGTCTATCCATCTATTTTTTTTTAACCAGTAATAGGCTGTTTTGATCATAACTTCCTTGTAGCATATCTTGAAATCTGGTATTGTGATGCCTCCGACCTTGTTTTTATTGTACAAGATTGCTTTAGATATTTGGGGTCTCCTGTGCCTCCATATAAATTTCAGCATCATTTTTTCTAGATCTGAGAATATCTGGTATTTTGGTTGGTAGTGCATTGAATCTGTAAATTGCTTTGTGTATTATGGACATTTTTATGTTATTCTTCCAATCCATGAACATGGAAGATTTTTCCATTTTTTTGTATCTTCTATTTCTTTCTTTAATGTTTTGTAGTTCTCATTGTAGAGATCTTTGACATCCTTGGTTAAATTTATTCCAAAGTATTTGATTATTTTGTAGCTATTGTGAATGGACTGATACTAGAAGTTCTTTCTCAGCTTTGGCATTGTCTGTTTATACAAAGGCTGTTGATTTTTATGTATTGATTTTATATCCTGCTACTTTACCAAACTCTTCTATGAGTTCCAATATTCTCTCAGTGGAGTTGTTTGGATCCCCTATACATAGAATCATGTCATCTGCAAATAGGGATAGTTTGACTTTCTCCTTCCCAATTTGTATCCCTTTGATTTCTTTTTCATGCCTAATGGCTCTGGCTAAAACTTCCAGGGCTATACTGAATAGCAATGTTGAGAGTGGGCGTCCCTGTCTGGTTACGGATCTCAGTGAGAATGCTTCCAACTTTCTCCCATTCAATATGATGTTGGCCATGGGTTTGTCATAACTTACCTTGATCGTGTTGAGGAATGTTCCTTCTATACCCAATTTGCTTATAGTTTTCATAATGGAAGGATGTTGTATTTTATCGAATGCTTCCTCTGCATCTATTGAGATAATCATATGGTTTTTTTTCAGCAGTTAATGTGATGTATCACATTGATTGATTTGCAAATGTTGAACCACCCCTGCATACAGGGATAGATCCCACTTGGTCTGGGTGGTTGATCTTTCTGGTATGTTTTTGGATTTGATTGGCCAGAATTTGGCCACTTTGGTTGAAGATTTTTGCATCTATGGTCATCAGGGAAATTTATCCATAATTCTTTCTTTGTTGCATCTTTTTCTCATGTAGGAATTAAGGTGATGCTGGCTTCATAGAAAGAATTTAGGAAGAATCTCTCTCTTTCAATTGTTTTTTAAGAACTTGAGAAGAATTGAGGTTAGTGCTATAAATGTCTGATAGAATTAACTGTGAAGCCACCTGATCCTGGGCTTTTCTTTGTTTGGAGGGCCTTTATCACTGTCTTGGTTATGGTTTTGTTTAGATTTTCTATGTCTTCATTACTGACTCAATTTAGGTAATTTATATGTGTCCAGGAATCTCCCCATTTCTTTTAGGTTTCCCAGTTTGTTGGCATACAGCTCTTAGTAGTAATTTCTGGTGATACTTTTTATTTCTCTAGTGTCTGTTATATTTTCCTTTTCATCTCAAATTTTATTGATTTGAGTCTTCTCTCTCCTTTTTTTGGTTAGTTGGGCCAATGGTGTGTCAATTATGTTTGTTTTTTTCTAAAATCCAGCTCTTTGTATTGCTGATCCTTTGTATTTTAATTCAATTTTGTTGATTTCTTCTCTAATTATTTCTTTTCTCCTACTAGTTTTGAGTTTGTTTTGATATTGTTTTTCTATATCCTTGAGATGCATTGATAGCTCATTTATTTGGTGCTTTTACAATTTCTTGATATAGGCATGTATTGATATAAACTTTCCTCTTAATGCTGTATCCCATAAGTTTTGATATGTTGTGTTGTCATATTTATTAGTTTCCATAAGTTTTTTGATTTCTCTTTTCATTTCTTCTTTGACCCACTGTTCATTCAGGAGTGTGTTGTTCAGTCACCATGTGTTTGCCTATGTTCTAGGGATTTCTGAGTTGCTGATTTCCAGCTTCATTCCATTGTGTTCTGAGAAGATGCATGGTATGATTTTGATTTTTTTTAATCTGCTGAGACTTGCTTTATGGCCTACTATGTGATCAATCCTAGAGAAATTCTCATGTACCGCTGAGAAGAATGTGTGTTCTGCCACTGTAGGATGAAAAGTTCTGTAGATATCTGTTAGGTCCATTTTGACTAAATCTGAAGTTCCTTGCTGATTTTCTGTATGGTTGATCTGTTCATTGCTGAAAAGTGGAGTATTGAAGTCCCCCATTAGTATTGTATTGTATTGTATTGGAGTCTAAGTCTCCCTTTAAATTCCTTAACATTTGTTTTAAATAGCCAGGTGCCCCAGGTGCATATAGTTTAATAATAGTTACATCTTCCTATTGAATTGTTCTCTTAATCATTGCATAGTACCTTTGTTTGTCTCTTAACAATTTTTGTATTATTATGTTTTGTCTGATAATAAGATGGCTACACCAATTCTTTTTTGGTTTCTGTTGGCATGGAATATCTGTTTCCATCCCTTTCCTTTCAGTCTGCATACATCTTTGTTGGTGAAATGTATATATAGTACTTATGTGCAAGTACTCTCTCCCACATAGTCGTCTTACCTAAGGTCTTAGAAAATAGTAACAGGGGGGTGGTATTGTGTAGTGGGTAAAGCTGCCACCTATGACACCAGCATCTCACATGGGTACCCATTCAAGACCCAGCTGCTTCACTTCTGAACCAGCTCCCTGTTGATGTGCTTGGGAAAGTAGCACCCATGTGGGAGACCCAGAAAAAGCTCCTGGTTCCTGGCTTTGGTTTGATGCAGCCCTGGTCATTGTGGCCATTTGGGGGGTGAACCTGTGGATGGATGCACGCTGTCTCTTGCTCTGTGTCTCTGTCTTTCCCTCTCATTGAAATTCTTTCTTTGAAATAAAGAAAAATAAATCTTTAGAAAGAAGTAATAGTACTGTCTAGGATCACAGAGTAGCATACAGTAAATTTAGAAGTGTCATATAGCATTGATGTCAGGGAGAAAAAAAACAGGTCAGCTTTGTAATTATTACATTTCTATACTGATGATAATTAGCCTTCAATTAAAGCTTCACATTTTACATGATTTTTATTGCTATCTTTTTAGTGCTTTACTAAGAATTAGCAGAATTTTATGGCATTCATTCATACTAAATGAATTGTGGACATGAAGTATTATTAATCTAAACAAAATGAGAATGGTTTGCTTCTGGATGTTGATGTTAACAGAACAGAAAGGTCAGATGTGAATTCACATATTATAATGTTTTATTACCTCTTAATCCCTTGAACAAATGTGGTCTATGGGAGATAATTACCTGGGTATTTCATTTGTAAAGAAAATTTTACCTGTGCCATGCTTGTGTGTACTTATTCATTGATATATACTAAAGTGTTAGAAGGTATATATGAATAATTTTTCAGTAGATCATATCTGGTTCATAAAATACTGTGAATTCTTGATTTAACTAATCATTATAAATTATTTTGAAATTTTGCATTATTTTTCTCAATTTGTTTTTCAGTGTTGTTTGTGTTGGTGGAGATGGATCTGCAAGTGAGGTAGCCCATGCTTTGCTTCTTAGAGCCCAGAAGAATGCTGGAATGGAAACAGATGGAATCCTGAGCCCTGTCAGAGCACAGCTTCCACTTGGCTTGATACCAGCAGGCAAGGGACTGGCTTCAGGATTTTAATTGACCTCCTCCTCTTCCCCTTTTCCTAGACACTATGACACAGCATTAAACTTGCAAACATTGAGTTTGAAAGATCCAGGCTTGACTTCAGTATCCGCATGAAAGAATATGAGACTTCAAACAAGTCATTTAATTTTTTGAACTGTATTTTTCTAATATATAGAACAGAGATAACATAATATTCACTTCATTCAAAATTATTGTAGTACGAAATTAGATAATTTATACAAAGGGCTTACTAGATAGTTAGAACAGTAGTTGCATATACTGACGCTTTATCTCCACATAAAATGGTCTACTGGGTACACACTTGACTCCAGTCAAGCTTTTGATGATTTCATTCACTGCTGCACACTAAAACTGTAAAGATGGATGTCCCTGGAGGACACATTGGACAGTGAGTGGAGAGTGGGCTACAAAAACTGGTGTTCACACTTGTCGTGGTAAAACGTAGCTGAATTTTATAAAGCAACAGCACTGAATTTTACAGCTATGATGACTGTATATTTCTTATTCTTTTGAAAGCATGCTATGTATCCAGTGGGTATTTGCCACTTTAATGTTTTTTCCAGGTGAGATACAATATGCTGCCAAAACTGTGGTCAGTATACAGGTATTTCATCTTACTCATGGCATCTGCTAGGAGGGGGCTGTCACGGTGGGATGTATTTAACATGAGGATTCTGTGCCTAGTCAGGACTTTACATAGAGAAAGGGGAAAAATGGGTGGGCAGGAAGTCTCTTAGCTGAACATGAGGAGACCTTGTGCCTTTGAAGCCATTTGCCTCCTGGAGACAAACACCCCAGGGGGGAGTGTTTAGTAGATTACTCCACTGAGCCAACAGACTAAGCTGCTGAATTATGGTCAGAGTCAAACAGATCAGATGTGGGGAAGCCTGTGTTTGAACTGCTGGCCATTAGGAATGGTGTTTGTTGCTATGGGAACTGGTGCTAAGGAACTATAGAGATTTCGATTAAAAGTGGGGTGGGGAGGGTGGAAAGCCTTGAGAGGGCATAAAAATAAAAAAAGCAATCCAGTTGTTGTAAAACAAGACTCAATCCACATACCGATGGCTGTGAACCATATATTCCTATAGAGTTCACATAAATAAATCCATGCTTTCCAATTAATTTGATGAGAATAAAATATAGCTGAGGGACTGTTAATTTCTATGATATTTCAGGCAAAGAACCAAAGGGTAGGTGCCGTTTTCATGAGAATTTTAGATATGCTTGGCTAGGAAGTCATTACATCACATTTATCTGTTTGGATGTGGGAGACATTAACAGCCTTATGAATATTCATGGTGTCTGGTTAATTAAGTTAATTGTTCTGCAGAAGTGCTTGCACTTCCAAGGACAATTTTTTTTTTTTTTTTTTGGTCTTCCTGGTTTCTGCCTGGTATCCTGTCAATTATGTTTTCCATGTACTGCTACTTCTGTCCTTATGTTTGGTGTTCAGTACTTTTTAGCAGGGCCTGGGGAGCGGTGGTGGGCATTGTTGCTGGTATTATTAAGGAAAATAACTTTTCAGGCTAATTAACATGTTTACTTTGAGGTTGAGCATGTACAGCTTTTGTGAAACATCAAAATCACACCATTGTTACGTAAGTGAGCAGGGTGTTCTTTTGGCATGAAGACATCTTTTCAAATAGACTGCAATTTCCTGAAACAAAACAGGATCCACTTTTCAGATTATCCCAACAAAAGTATAGGCCAATCTATAATTTTACAATTTTGTGTACTTTCTCATGCATTTTGCTCTTCCAAATGTATGAAAACATGTTTAATGGCTAATGAATGCCTTCATAAGAAGGTGACTAAAATAATTTGACTTCTAAGCATGCCTATTATAACTGCCAAGTTTTGTAGAACACAGGCAAAGCTGGAAAGCCTGAGTGAACATGAGAATAGCCACTGCTGCATTGAGAAAGGATTTGTATTTGGGCAGACTCAGCGTGCTTCAAACTCGTAGCAAATAAATGGTCTTTATTTTCTTGAGTCGTGATATGTGCTATTCTCGATTGCACATGACAACATTATGTTATGTTTTTAATAGCCTTTCTAGAGGAATGCTTTGATGGTCTACTCTTAATTAAGCATGGTAATGGAGGAAATGTATTTCATGGGGTACTGTAATCCATCGATAATCTTAAATATCTCTAATTATGTGACCTCCTCCAAAACCTTTAGCATAAATCTGATTGGGAAGCAAAATAGATTGATTTGTTTTCTCTCTCTTTCTGCCACACATTGCAGGTGAATTAGCAATTAGATGACTAAACAGCAGACTTCAGAGGGTCAAAAGATGATTGAAAAGGCCTGGGTACAGATCCATGGAGTAACAGGTTTCCAGATTACGTGTTTGCAAACCCTCAGGTGCATGTGAATTAGCTTGGGAACTTGGTAAACACAGGCACCTCCTCTACATAGATTATGATTCCATGGGCTGGAGGTAGTGTCCTGGAATCTGCATTTTTAACAAGCACCCAGGTAATACAGATGATGCTGATCCACAGACCATATATTACAGATGAGTGTCTCCCTCACACTGTGCATACAGATCACCAGGGAATTTTATATACTGTAGATTTTCATTCAGTATGTCTAGAATGGCACTTTTAATTTAAAAAGAGTGAACTTCTTTCTAAATTATTTCTGTTTGAAAGATTAAAATATTTTTGATTGCTTATGATAGAAAGAAATCTCCCATCTATTGCTTCACTCTCCAAAAATGCCCACAACAGACAGGACTGGCTCAGGCTGAAAGACATTCAATCCAGGTCTCCCACATGTGTGGCAAGAACCCAATTACTTGCAGCATCACTCTTGCCTCCCGTGGTCTGCATTTCTAGAAAACTCAAGTGAGCAGCCAGGTATTAAACCTGAGTGCTCCAATATGAGACACAGGTATCTTATCCATTAGGTTAAACATCTCCCTTATTACTATTTTAATGTCCCTTTTTTATTCTTGGAAAATAAAATTTGTATATATTTAACATGTACAACATGGTCTGAAAGTTTTACATAGTGGTATGGTTAAATTGAGTTAATGAAAATACGCATTATCTCACATGCTTATTTTTTTGTGATGAGAACACTGAAAATGTATTCTCTTAACAATTTTCAAGCATACAATACATTGTTATTAATGGTAGTACCTTACCCTTCCTAACTGAAGTTTATATCCTTTGACCAACATCTCCCTAGTCCTTAGCCTCCAGTATCCACCAATTTCCTCTCTCCTACTGAGTTTGACTTGGTTAGACTTCACATATCAGTGAGATCACAAGGGAATTGTGTCTCTGCTTATTTCTCTATGTAAAATGTCCTCCAGGTTCACCTATGATATTGCAAGTAGGAGGATTTCTTCCTTCTTAAATGCTGAGTACAATTCTGTTGTATATATTTACAGTATTTTTAAAATCCATTCATCCATTGGTAGATAATTTACTCCATATCTAGGCTATTGCAAATAATACTGCAATGCATGTAGGACTGCAGTTATCTCTTGACATGTTGACTTCATATCTTTTGGACAGAAGCTCAATATATTCCTGGATCATAAGTTTTGTTTTCCAAAATGTGTGTACCAATTTACATTCCACCAATAGTGTACAGGAGTGTTCTTTTCTCCACATCCTTGCCAACATGTACCTTTTGCCTTTTTTATAATGGCTATTCTAACAGGTATGAAGTGATACCTCATTGTGATTTTAATTTGCATTTCTCTGGTGTTGCTGAACAATTTCTCATATGCCTATTGGTCATTTGTGTGTCTTTTTTGAACAAATACTTATTCAAGTATCATATCCATATTATTAAAAAATTATGTATTTGAAAGGTAGTATCTGTGTGAAAGAGTGAGGGTGTGAGCAAGCGAGCACCTCCATCCTGTGGGTCACTCCCAAAAGGTCACAATAGCCAGGTGGGCCAGACTGCAACCAGGAACCCAGAACTCCTTTGGGGATCTCCATGTGGATAGTAGGGGCCCAAGTACTTGGGACATCATCCCCTACTTCCCCAGGTGCATTAGCAGGGAGATAAATTGGTGGTGAAGCAGCCAGGACTCCAACCAGCACTCTGATATACAATGCCAGCATTGAATGAAGAGGTTCAATCCACTGTGCTACAACCCTGGCCCCCTATTTACCCATTTTTAACCAATTACTCTTTATTCTTACTGGTGAGTTGAATTCTGTAAATATTTTGTGTATTCTTTTCAACTATCTGTTTTTACAAGATTTTTAACCAATTACTCTTTATTCTTATTGGTGAATTCTGTAAATATTTTGTGTATTCTTTTCAACTATCTATTTTTACAAGTATTTCTTCCAATTCTGTAGGTTTCTTCATTGTTTTCGTTGCTGTGCAACCTATTAGTTTGATGTGACTTTGTCTAATTTTGCTTTTGTTGCCTAAGGTTTTGGATTTATATTCAGAAAATTGTTGTGGGCCTGTTTTATGGCACAGCAGGAAAGCCACTGCCTGAGATGCCAGCATCCCCATATGGCTGCTCCACTTCCTATCCATTTGCCTGTTAATGTGCCTGGAAAGCAGCAGAAGATGGCTCAAGTGCTTGGGCTCCCACCACCCTTGGAATGTGGGAGACCTTGATGGAGTTCCAGGTTCTTGGCTTTGGTTTTGGCTTTGGCTTGGGCCAATTACAGCTGTTGTGGCCATTTGGGGAATGAACCAGCAAATAGAAAATTCATTCTCCTGCTGTAGCACCTGCTCCCATTCTGCTCCTGTTCCCTCTTCCTCCTCCTCCCTTTCTCCCACCTACTCTCCCTCCCCCTCCCTCTCCCCCACTTTTTCAAACCTTTCAAATAAATAAATCTCAAAAAAAAGAAAACTTCGGCCCAGATTAATGGCATGGGCATTTCTCCCTATATTTTCTTTTAGGAATTCTACAGTGTCAGGTTTTATGTTTGTTTTTAATCCATTTTGAATTGATTTTTGTATATGATGTAAAGGAGATGTCTAATTTGATTCTTGTATATGTGGATGTCCACTTTTCCCAACAGCACTCATTGAAGATGCTGTCTTTTTCTCTGTGTTTTCTTAGCACTTTTATAGGAAAAGAGTTAATTATAAATACTTGAGATTATTTCTGCACTCTGTTACTTTGGCTTTATGTCTGTTTTTGTGTCAGTACCCTGTTGCTTTAGTTGCTAGAGCTTTGTAGTATATATTTGTAGTCAGGTACTGATGCTCTTTGCTCAAGATTGCTTTGACTATTTTGGGTTTTTGTGGTTCTATACATATTTTAGACTTTTTTGGTTTCTATGAAAAAAGCCATTGAAATATTAATAAGGATTACATTGGATCTATAGACTGTTTTGTACAATCAGGACACTTTAACAATATTTATTCTTGTAATCCATGAGCATGTGATATTCTATTTATTTCTGTCATCTTAATTTTTTTTTATTAAAAAAAATTTTTTTTTTGGCAGGCAGAGTTAGACAGTGAGAGAGAGACAGAGAGAAAGGTCTTCCTTCCATTGGTTCACTCCCCAAATGGCCACTACAGCTGGCGTGCAGCGCCGATCCGAAGCAAAGAGCCAGGTGCTTCCTCCTGGTCTCCCATGTGGGTGCAGGGGCCAAGGACTTGGGCCATCCTCCATTGCCCTCCCAGGCCACAGCAGAGAGCTGGACAGGAAGAGGAGCGACCGGGACAGAATCTAGCACCCGACCAGGACTAGAACCCTGGTGTTGGCGCCGCAGGCGGAGGATTAGCCTAGTGAGCCGTGGCACCAGCTGTGTCATCTTAATTTCTTCCATCAATATTTTATTGTCTTCAGCATACAGTTCTTTTTCCATCTTGGTTAAATTTATTCCTTAGTATTTTTTTTTTGGTGCCTGTTGTAGATGGGATTGTTCTCATAATTTTTTTTCTGTATAGTTTATTATAAGATATGGAATGCTACTGATTTTTATATTTTATAGCTTTTGAGATTGTTTACTTGTGTTAATAGTATGCTAATGATGTCTTTAGGGTTTCCTGTGTAAGATCATGTCATCTGTTTATAGACACAATTTATCTCCTTTGTTTCCAATTTGGATACCTTTTATTTCTTTCTCTTGCCTAATTGCTCTGGCTAGGATTTCCAATATCATGTTGAATAACAGTGGCAAGAATGGGCATCCTTGTCTGGTTCTTGATGACAGCATTTTCTTAAGCACACAGGTGTTATCAACATACTTGACCCTGGTCAATATTCTGAATAACAAAGGTCAGAATATAACTTGCTTTTTGGTGAACCAGTTGGAACCAGTTTACCAATTGGTAAAGGTGAGCTTTTCTTTGCATAGTTGTTATCAGATATCTGGGTTGATTCTGCTTACATGTTCATTAAAATATACTTATTAATTATTAAGCAATGCTTAGGTATGTACCTAATAACTCCCTAGTGACATCATAGATGATGAAGGCTGAGCTATCTCAGCATCTCTAACTAAGCAACCTAAGTGCCTGTCAATTGAAAGTGACACAGATTGAAGTGATTATGTGGAACCACTCAGAAATGCTTCTAATAAATAAAATCTTGAGGCCTCACTTTTGCCTTAATAAGTACACAACACATCTATGATTTGCAGCTCTTGGTTATTACTGGACTTGCTTCCTGTATCCTTTAATAAAGAAAAAACAAGAGTTTGACTTTCTGTCATTTAGTAATTTTAAACCATTTTTTAACTTCCAAGAAATGAGTGGAGCTGACTATTTTCTTACTCTGAAAAGCAGAACTTTATCCCAAGATTTTGGTGACATATAAATGTTCTTTGGTAGTTTTTTTTTTTCTTTCTCACTGTAGGCTGGTGGGGAAAAGTCCATGAGGGATTTAAACTATCGTAATGATTATAACAATCAGAAATAATGTCTCAGATACAAATTTTTCATGCCATGGAAAATAACATGGAATTAAATAATTTCTTCATCTGGGAGACCCTTTTTCTGTCAGATTATGGAAAGGACTCCCATGTGGTTGAGAGCTTATCACTAAGATTTATTAAATGCATTTAGAGCATGTCATTTGGATTTCACAGGGTTTTATATTTTTCCTAGTTGTTATTTGGGTTTTCTCTTATTGCACATTTGTCTCAGCTGTCCAGAGCCATCCTTCTGTTGTTGATCCTTATTTGGTGTAGAAGCCAAATCATTCAAGGTGGATGGAGTACATTTTGATATAGCTTGCATTTGGGGACTACAAAATACACATTCATAATAAAAAAAAACTATAAGAAAGTACTACCAACAATTTTATAATTTTTAAGTCATTTAGAGATTCAACAAATAATCCTGCAAACATTTGAGATGTGTTTGTCTTGTAAATTGACATTTAAAGTCCACTAATGTTTTCATCAACTTCTCTAATTTTATAAACCTTCCTACTCTTGCATCTGGATGTCACACAATGATATCTATCTAGGGCACAAATGCTAACTTAAAAATATATTCTGTGCTGATGGTGCATGTTTTAAAATGCCTTTGGCAGGATCAACGAATGTATTGGCACATTCTCTTCATGGACTCCCTCACGTGGTAACTGCAACTTTGCACATTATAATGGGTAAGAATCCTCCCAAAGAAATCCATGTTTAAGAAATTCACTTGTCTAAGAAAAAGTGACTTCTTTGTCTCTCAAAGCAGAGAAAGATCTGACAAAATGCCAACCAGGCAAGGCAGCACTACTTGAACTGCCTACCTTTTTAAAACACTTGTTTTGTAAAGTTCAGTAACTGAAGTCTTAATATAATCTTGCTAGAGAAAAACATTGTGTGGTGGTGTTTGGTTCAAGTGTTAGGCCATCAGATGGGATGGCTGTGGCCTGATCAGAGTGCATTCATTCTCGTCCTGACCCTAGTCTCCATTACAGCTTCTTGCTGATGCACACCCTAGTTACTGTGCTTGTTTAGAGAATGAGCCCTTGAATGAGAGATGTCTTGATGGCTCTCTCTACCTTTCAAATGAGTAATCTAAAAAAAAAAAGTGTTCTAAATAACAATTTTGTAACCAGGTCAAGAAAATCCATGCATAGTATTTAAGTATACTCAATACTGCTTTTTATATACCAAGGCCCTAGAATTAGACTTGTTACTAAAAGGAAATAAAAAGGTATGTTACTCATTTGTTTGAGTGCACACCCATAGGCATTTTATTATCCAGCTGTTAGCATATAAGCTCGGGTAAGTATAACTAAAAATATTAAGTTTTTAAAAGAGATTTATTTTTATTTGAGTTACAGAGAAGGAGAGGTAGCGCCAAAGAAAAAGTGGGGGGGGGGGGCTTCTATCCCCTGGTTCACTCCTAAAATGCCTGCAATGATGCTGGCTGAGCCAGGCCAGGCCAAAGCCAGGAGCTTTCTCCAGGTCTCTCACATGGGTTAAGGGGCCCAAGGACTTGGGCCATCTTCTGTTGCTTTCCCAAGCGCATTAGCAGAGAGTTGAATCAGAAGCGAAGCAGAGGCCCAGTACTGTGGTGTAGTGGGTGAAGCTGCTGCCTGCAGTGCCAGCATTCCATGTGGGCGCCAATTCAAGTCCCAGCTGCTCCACTTCCAATGCAGTTCTCTGCTATGGCCTGGGAAAGCAGTAGAGGGTGGTCCAAGTCCTTGGGCCCCAAATCCGCATGGGAGACCTGGAAGAGACTCCTGGACCCTGGCTTCCAATCGGTGCAGCTCCAGCCATTGCGGCCATTTGGAAAGTGAACCAGCAGATGGAAAACCTCCCCCTCCCTTCCCCCAACCACTTCCTCTCTCTTCTCTGTCTCCCCTCTCTCCCTTTGCCTCTGCCTTTCAAATAAATCGTGTAAAAAAAAAAAGTAGAACAGCTGGGACTTGAACCAGTGCCCATAATAGATGCCAGCACTGCAGGCTCTGGCTTTGATCCACTGTGCCACAGCATCAGTCCCAAAAACTACTGTTAAATCTAAGTTAACTTTGAACTTCGACTTCAACTTCACTCCCTTAATTATGTTTTGTAACAAATATCAGTAAGGTGCAAGGTTCACTGTTTCATGTTTCTTCACTTAATGTTTGAAAAAATTACAAATGAAAGTTGCAATCATTATAGGTAGAGAGATGAAGAGAAAGTGAGGATATTCATAATGGTATACAATATCTTAGGATATTCTCCTGTAAGTAATTAAATAGCCTCTCCGATGTCTGTAGTTTTGACAACTAGCCCTACTGCTCTCATTGTTTCACTAATATTCAACATAATGTTCAAGGACACCTTCAACAAGTTGATGTCTGCACCTTTAATACCATGGGCAAACTTGTTCGTTTTGGGTTCTCAGCCATGTTTGGCTTTGGTGGAAGAACTTTGGCCCTGGCGGAAAAGTATCGATGGATGTCCCCCAGCCAACGGAGAGATTTTGCTGTAATTAAGGCACTGACAAAACTCAAGTAAATATTTTTCTTAAAACAAAAATTTTGTATCCTAGGGTCAATGACTAGCAATAACAAATTTCATTACTATTTCAGGCCAGAGGACTGTGAAATATCATTTTTGCCATTTAACAACTCTTGGAATATACAAGAAAGGTAGGTAAAAACAACGTAATCAAGATACCAATATTTTATCTTAAAACAGAAAACACTTTTGCATAAACTATTTATCTGATTATTTTTGTTTTCTATCATCTGTGTACTAATAAAGAGTATAGGATCATGAACTTCTATGGGTTCTGGGAAGCATGCAGTTTGCCTTCTGTCTTCAGAAACAACAACTCACTCATCCATCCATCCGTCTGCTATTTACCTGTCATCCATCCACCCATCTGCTAATTCATTGGCTATTTGTATGCCTATGATGATGCCAGGCAGTTTGGGTGGAGAAAAAAAAAAAAGCAAAACACCCAGTGTTTTGGCCCTCATAAAATTTGAGTCAAGTGTGAAACATAGATATTAATCACAGCCACACTGAAGAAAGGTTGTATTCTCTTTAAAAATGTTTACATCATTCTTAAAATACTATGCTACCTTTAAATTAAGCAATGCATTATAATGTTAAGAGCAGCAAAACTGTTCATTTGTTTTTACTTATTTAATCAAAGGAAATATTTAGCATATGTGATGCTGGATTGTCTATTTTTTTTCCTACTGAAAGGTGCTACTTTGTTTTGTTACTTTGTTTTATTTTAGGAGTGCACAGGGATCTCCGGATTCTGGTGAGTCTGAAAGCATCTCCTTGAACTGAGCCATGCTCTGCTGATTTTAGCTGTGGGAGGGAAAGGAACCAATCACTTTCATCACTTTCATTCCCTTCAGACTATAATGAACAATGGCAAACGATCCAGGGTCAGTTCTTGAATGTCAGCATTATGGCAATTCCCTGCCTATGTTCAGTGGCACCCAGAGGCTTGGCACCTAACACCAGGTTAGTGTTTTTAATGAATCATTGATCCTTATCTTTAAATGAACTTTTTTCTTTTATAACCCCCAATTAACAATTGGCCAGCCAGAAACTCCGTAAGAAGTAGTCTGTCTAGGGATTTGTCATCATGGTAGGCTGAGAACAATTGTACAATTGTGAAAAATGATCAGAGAACCAGTGAAATTTCCATTTTTTGTAGCTAAATAATATTTCCTGGGTTTTATTGAGGTAATCTAGTTATGTTACCCCATTTTTGCTTGCTGTATTTGTTTATTGTTGAGGAAAAGATCAAAATACCTATAAATATGTATAGCATGGAAAGTATGTGTATATATATTTGATACCTATAAACAAAGAAAACATTTCTACTGCCCACATTTTCAACTGAAAAAATTGATACTTTTATATATCTTTTTATCCATATGGTATAGACATTTCTTCTCTTGGACATTGTTTTTAAGCACATGCTCATTGTGGATCTGAAAATATTTCTCTCCCAGATCTGAAATACAGTAAGCAAGATTTTCTCTAGAAGCAGAATAAAATTATGACCTTGTATTATGACCAGTTTAGAACATTTTAAAGATTAGCTTCTGCTTCTCTGCAGAGTATTTAACACGAATGTGTAACACCTAGATAAAAGGATAGATTTTAAATTTCCTCCTTGGCAAATGATATGAAAGTAACAAACAGGGAAATATCCAGTCAGGGAAGAAAAAGGAGAAACTTGAAATTTTTGTATTCAAAAGAAAGTAAAACTCATTAATTGCATATGTACTGACACTTGGAAGACTATGTGGATGCTTGTGTGATTTGGAAATTGAGTCTGGCTGTTTCCTCCCAAGGCCCTCAGAAACCAGACACCCATGTGCTTCCTTAATGTAGCTCGCCTCGCTGACTAAGGAGCTGTGGCACCTGACTGAAGAGCTATGACCTGGGTCAATGTTCATCTAACCCCACTTGCTCAAGGATCTTTACGGGAGGCACTCCTGTTTTTCTGGGAGCAGTTAATCCATACTTCCCTCAAAGCCACTCCATAAATGTTCAGCTTCTCTAGAATTTCGCTGCTGACCCTGCCCGTTTACTCATCATTGATGAAGTTTTCAGTGAAGGATGTCCCTTGGTGCTTTCTTCTGTGGGTTCTAATCCAACTACAGGGTTTTTGCAAAGGTCTGTAAACCTGTCTCAGTTGATTAGAGATTTTCAGAGATATAGTTTCTGAATGATTCAAGAACACTGAACAGGACATTCTGCTTTGAGCTATCCACCCTCCACACACACAGCACCCCATACACACCAAAATAAGAACTAATTTCAAAATAACTTCCATGTAAATCACTGATAGGAGTTTAATGTTCTCATAAGTATTCTAAGATTAAATGTATTTTATATATATATATATATGTGTGTGTGTGTGTGTGTGTGTGTGTGTGTGTGTGATTAGGACAGTGCCAGGCATTTGGAATGTTTCTATTACTAGTAAATATTAAAAAGCATGCTAGGTAAGTTTTTTAATATTTATAGATTTATGTACTTTGGGTGTTTGCTTTTAACTGGGAATAGGTAACTTGAAGAGTGGAATACTGGGACCTGGGAATTAAGAGCTCTGGTGCTGGTGATCATTTTGTTTTTCTCCGTCTTTGAGAAAATCGCTTAAACTTGGGGCTGTCCTTCCCTACCACATAAAATGAGTGAATGGCAAGATAATCTCTAAGTTCCCTTCCAGCTCTAACTTGATCTTGCACAAGATTTAAAGAACTCTTTTTAATGTCATTGTTATTCTTGGAATAACTTCATGTGTGTGCTGAAATCAAGCTGGAAATCATTTACATGCATCTCTGCAAACTGCCTTCTAAAGCTAGATGCATTTGTGAATGGCTGTTTTGGCACTAAATCACACCTCTGAATTTTTATTCTCTTATATTGGATGAAACAGTTATGCAAGATTAAAATGCTCAGTCATTTAACTAAATATGTGTGGCAGCATTTGCTCATTCCATTTTCATCCAACCAAAGCCATTTTGATTTATTTCATTTCCGATGTCACTTTAGACCTCTTGCTTATAAATAAATACTTAAATCACACTTCAGAATTGAGAAAATGTTGGGCTTTTGTTATACCATTTGTACATATTAACTGTTTCGTGATCCTTAAAAAATACATCTTCACAATTAGTAGCCTTAAGTAATTACATTGGATTTTAAATTACGGTTTGATGTGTGAGTAGGATGCATAATGGTTCATTTTTTTAAAGCCCTAACATGAGAGCTTCCGAGAAGGAAGCCATTGGTATAGTAAAACTGATGTGAAAGGCTGTATCCTCTAAGAAATAATGCAGCAAGACATGGTTTAAATTTTTTAGGTAAATTTAATGAGGTGTAGATTTACCTATCTTACCCAATACTTCAAGTAAATAGTACATTTGTTATAAGGAATGGCATGGACCGATTTCTGATGTATTCTTTTAATAAACATCTTAACATCAAAATCCAATGTTCAATTTCAGACTAAACAATGGAAGTATGGCTCTTATAATTGCACGAAACACTTCTCGTCCAGAATTTATAAAACATTTGAAAAGATACGCCAGTATGCAAAATCAGGTAAAGTAAATACTTTCTGTTACTTAATTGTGAAGCTATTAATTCTTAAGAGATGCTGCAAGGGTTGGCATCATTTTTTTTTCTTAAATCATAATCCTTTTAAAAATGTGTTGCATCTACATTTTGAAGAGCTTCCAGCAGTAGTCTTTAGATTGGCATTTTTGGACATAAAGGCTACTAGTTTTATTATGTGAAGAGAAAATAGAGAATGCAGTGTTAAATAAAAATGTGAAGAAAATTAAAGATTAAATTACACATTCAAGTGGCTCTTCAGATGAACAGTAGTGAAAGCCGAGGTTGCAGCCACCTTGATTTTGTAGCATGTTCTATAAAGTTATGTATCTTTAGATTTTCCTGACATTTGATTGTAGATCTGCCTATGTTTATTGATTGAAATATTTGCAAATGTGTATTTAAAAATACACCACTTTCGGCCAGTGCCGCGGCTCAATAGGCTAATCCTCTGCCTGCGGCACCGGCACATGGGGTTCTAGTCCCAGTCAGGGCGCTGGATTCTGTCCTGGTTGCCCCTCTTCCAGGCCAGCTCTCTGCTGTGGCCCAGGAAGGCAGTGGAGGATGGCCCAAGTGCTTGGGCCCTGCACCCCATGGGAGACCAGGAGAAGCACCTGGCTCCTGCCTTCAGATCAGCGTGGTGTGCCGGTGCAGCGCACCAACCACAGCGGCCATTGGAGGGTGAACCAACGGAAAAGGAAGACCTTTCTCTCTGTCTCTCTCTCACTGTCCACTCTGCCTGTCAAAAAAAAAAAAAAAAAATACACCACTTTCGTGCAGAAATTAGTTTTTTGATTCAAAACTAGAATGTATGGAGATATGTTTCTGCTTGTTTTTCTTTAAAGAGAAAATATTTATTAAATGCTGTCTTTTTTTAGGCAGATTTTAACCCAGTTATTAGGAAACAAACCCTGGAAATATGTGAATTTCTTGACAATGTGAGGCTTACAGGGGATAGGTGTGGCTGTAAGACCTCCAGTGTCACACATTTACATTGGATGTAGTTGGAAGAAAACAGGTGGGAAGAGGAGGAAAGTAAATCTAGCCAGGGACTCACAATTGAGTCTTGTTCACATACCTTAGCCTTTCATTGCAAGTTCCATTTCTGCTTCATTGTAATTTCAAACTTTCTTAGGCAATCTACATGAAGTTTGAATTCTTTTCTGCTTACTACATATTTTGAATAGCATTCTAGCAATCAACTGGAATATTAAAGAAATTAAATCCTAAAAAGCAGACAAAGTTCCACTTTCCTTAAATGTAACTCTCAAAGAAGACAAAGTAGAGAAACCATGTAGATTATGAGCCTAGGTACTGATTTTATGTATAGTATGTGTGGTTTGGTGATAGAAGATTTATCAATTTTTTCCAAAGGAATATATACCTTTGCATATGTTGCAAAAATTTTTGACAATAAACCCAACTTCATGATTTTTCTTAAAACAAAAGGGGTGCATGCTCATTTTTAAAGTCAGAAAATAGAAACAGTATAAAACACTCAAAATTCCATGTTTCCAGGGATAATCAGTTTCATCTTTTCCGTTAAATATATAAGAACATAAATGAGTATTAACTTCATTAATGTAGCCTTATTTGAGAATTTAAAGGAGTATCAACTGAGGAATGTATGCCTGTGAAGCTCTGTATGTATTTTAAAGAGGCATTTATTGTACAAATTGTTTACAAAAGATCTCCTGTGGAATTGCCTACAGGGTAAATTTCTAAGGAAATTTTTTCTAGATTTCACTGTTTTATCTCTAGCAAAATTCACTATCTTTTGATTTTGAAAGTAATGCTAACCTTTAAAATAAACTGCTGGTTAGAATGCCCATATCCCACATTAAAGTGCTTGGGTTGAAGTCCTGGCTCTATTCCTGATTTAGCTTTTTGCTAATGTAGACTGAGATGCAGCAGATGAGAGATTAAATATTTGAGTCCCTGCCACCTACATGGGAGGCCTGAGTTGAGTTCTGGGCTCCAGGCTTTGACCTGGTCCAGTACCAGCAATTGTGGGGATTTAGGGAGAGAGCAAGCAGATGGGAGATGTCTGTCTCCCTCTGCCTCTCAAAAACCAAGAGAAATACTAACAAAATGCCATGAAAAATAAGTCTATGTCTGTAGGAAAGTGTTTTTAAAGCAACAGTACGTTACGCAAGACATATTATAACTTATTTCTCCCATGTAGTCTACAGTCATATTTTGCTTTAGATGCAAACAACTGGTGCCTTTGTGTTTGTATGAGTTTCATTAGACTTAACTCTGATTTAGATAATTCAAAGCTTAAAGTCCATGCTGTTGCTCAGTAATTTTTTGCAAAGAAATTCTAAAATGTGTAGCATAGTAAAGATAGATAAAAATAAATGGATTGATTCCTGAGGTTACTGCTTTCAAAGTTAATTTGATGCACTTATAAAGAATAGATACACAGAAAATATAAATAGACTTAAAAAACACATCTGCTTTATTTCTGGGTTAGTTTTTCTGTGCCATTTTCATTGCTCTCAGGATAATCTCTGATTTCCTTAGCATGGAGCCCATAGCCCTTTGTATCATCACTTTTTTGCACCCTCCAACAGGTACTGTTTGTCTTGGTCATTGCTTTCATTTGCTGGAGCTTCAGTAACAAAACCCAGCATAGGGACATTAAACAGCAAATTGCTTTCTGTTTTAACTGTTCTGATGTTAGAAGTCCAAGCAGGTGTCAGCAGCTTTGGTTTGTCCTGAAGCGCTCTCTGGATTGCACAGGGCTTCTCTCTGTGTCCTCATATGGATTCTCTTCTGTGTACACACATCCCTGATGTCTTTCCATGTATCCAAATTCCACCTTCTTATATTGACATCATTCATAGAGTCATACTGGAAAGGTCTCATTTTAACTTAATTATCTCTTTAAAGCCCTTCCAAATATAGTGCTTGGGTTTGAGATTTCAGCTGAAGAATTCCTTTGGGGATGGAGACAATACAGCCCAGAACAGTAGGCTGATTTTTTTGTAGTTGTTTAACCCTGCCATACCTCTGTACTTTGGTAAGTGCTGTTTCATCTTGGCAGAACTCCTTTTCTTATACTCCAGGCTAACGCTTCTGAGTTCTTTTAAAGATGGTTCAAACGGGGACTTTCCCAGTATCCTGAGCTTGTTTGCCCCTTCTTGTTTCCAAGTGGAAGCCTATGTTTGCATCACTGTGGTGCTTCTCTGTATCACAGTCATAAGTGTTGACTTCGCTTCCCCATGTGCAAATGTACCCTGATAAAACGTACTGAGCAGTTGGCTCCCTGAATTCCCACTTGACAATGTCTATGGCTTCACATGTAACAAATCTGAGTGGATGGATAGGATTTCATTTTGTGAGGTGTGCACATATAACCGGGGATCTGATGATGTAAGATAAAAAACTTACTGGTGGTGGGTGTCAATTCTTGTCATTCCTTGGCTGGCAGCTACCTCACTCCAATCTGATTCTGCCATCACATTGCATTTTTACCTCTTGTACGGATGTCAGTCATGCTTGGTTAGGGCCATCCTAATGACCTCATTTTAACTTGACTACATCTGTGAAGACCTTGTTTCCAGATAAGGTATCAAGTAAGTACAAGGGGTAAGGATTTGGATATATTGAGAGGAAGTAGGGTGGAGTTATAATTTAAACCCTACAGACAGTTATCAATGATGCATTTTAAACATATAATATTTTCTTATTTACTTACAGAAAGATTTATTTATTTGAAAAGGGGAGAGAGAGAGAGGGGGAGAGCGAGAAAGAAAACCTTACATCTACTGGTCCACTATCTAAAAGCTCCAAATGGCCGGGATTTGGCTAGGCTGAAGCCAGGAGTCTGGAACTCCATCCATATCTCCCTCATGGTTGACAGGGTCCCACATTCTTGGGCCATCTTGTGCTGCTTTCCCAGGCACTTTAGCAGAGAGCTGGGTAGGAAGTGAGCAGCCAGGACTCAAACCAGCACTCTATGGGATATCAGCATTGCCTATAGCAGCTGAACGTGCTGTGCCACAATGCTGGCCCCATGTTATTAACATTTTACTTGAGAACAACTTTATATTTACAAAAAAGGTACTGATACATACTCCCCATATTCTTCACCCTATTTCTCCTATTAACTTCTTATATTAATGTTTTTGTCACAGAGAATCACACCCAGGTTCCTGTGTTTTTTATTTATTTATTTGATAGGTAGAGTGGACAGTGAGAGAGAGAGAGAGAGAAAGGTCTTCCTTCCGTTGGTTCATTCCCCAAATGGCCACCACGGCCAGCGCCGCGCTGATCTGAAGCCAGGAGTCAGGTGTCTCCTCCTGGTCTCCCATGTGGATGCAGGGGCCCAAGCACTTGAGCCATCCTCCACTGCCCTCCTGGGCCACAGCAGAGAGCTGGACTGGAAGAGGAGCAACTGGGACTAGAACCCAGTGTGCCGGCGCTGCAGGCGGAGGATTAGCCTATTGAGCCATGGCACAGGCCTCCATAAAGTTTCCATGGTAGCTGTACTAATTTAGTTTCCCACCAGCAATGTCTCAGTTTCCCTTTCTGCACATTCTTGCCAGCATTTGTTATTTTTTGAGGATAGCCCTCTGACAGGGTGAGATGATACCTCATTGTGGTTTTGACTTGCATTTCCGTGACAGCTACTTATATTGAACAGCTTTTAAAATATTTGTTGGGTATTTGTGTTTCTTCTTTTGAGAACTCTATATTTAGGTCTTTCAACATCTTAAAAGTGCTTCCTCATGTTTTCTTCTAGCAATATCATAATTTCAGTTCTTACATTTAGGTCTTTTTTTTAAGATTTATTTATGTATTTGAAAATGAGAGTTACACAGAGAGGAGAGACAGAGAGAAAGAGGTCTTCCATCCGATGGTTCACTCCCCAATTGGCCACAATGGATCAGAAGCCAGGAGCTTTTTCTAGGTCTCCCACGTGGGTCCAGGGGCCCAAGGACTTGGGCCATCTTCTACTGCTTTCCCAGGCCATAGCAGAGAGCTGGATCAGAAGTGGAGCAGCTGGGTATTGAACTGGTGCCCATATGAGATGCTGGCACTTCAGGCCAGGGCATTAACCTGCTGCACCACAGTGCCGGCCCCACATTTAGGTCTTGGATCCAAATTGAGTTGATGTTCATACAGGTGAGAGGCAGGGATCTGATGTTATCCTTACACATCCATAGGTCCAGGTTTGTCAGCGCCATCATTGAAGAGATTATCCTGTCTCCAGTATGTTTTGGCACCTTTGTCAAAAATCAGTTGTCCATATATACATGGATTCATTTCTGGGCTTTGTTCCATTCTACTGATCCCTGTGCTGACTAAAACACATTACGTTTGAAGTGAGTGATTCCATAGAAATTTCTGCAAGTTTAACATGTACCCAAGGATTTACACTGAGTGTGGGCTGTATTGCAGTGACTGTCAGTTTTATAAAGAGCCAGGCTGGTTTGGCGGAAAGCAGCTTAGGGCCCTCTAATTCTGTACCTCAATCAGAGCAGCTGATGCTACCATCCAGTCCACATGTAACTCAGTTTATTTTATTAAAAGACTTACTTTTTTGAAAGGCAGAGTTATAGAGGGGGAAAGAGGGAGAGGGAATATCTTAGATTCTCTGTCACTCCCCAGATGGCCACAATGGCCAGAGCTGCACCCTAAGCCAGGAGCACGGCGCTTCTTCAGGGTCTCCCATGTAGGTGCAGGGGCCCAAGGACTCGGACCATCTTCCATTGCTATCCCAGGCCATACCAGAGCTGGAACAAAAGTGGAGCAGCTGGGACTCAAAATGGTGCCCATATGAGATGTTGGCACTGTGGGTAGCAGCTTTACCCACTTTGCCACAGCACTGGCAGCAACTCAGTTTATTGTGCAGTATAAACTGTAAAATCTGCAGGACCTTAGTTTTTAACATATGTAAAATAAGGATATTGTGGGAAACCCTAGTTTTCTATCAGTTGTCTAAAGTTTCTGCTTCTGTAGGTGGCCGACTTGGTTAAGATACTCCTTGGGATGCCTAAGTGCCTGAGTTTGGATGTTGGCTCTACTCCTATTTCAAGTTCCCTGCTAATGTGTGCTGTAGGAGGCAGCAGATGATGGCACAAGTAGTTAGGTTCCTGCCCTTCAACTGGGAGACATAGACTGGATTTCTAGCTCCTGGTTTTGACTCTGGATATAGCAGGCATTTGGGGAGTGAACTAGAGGATGGGAGTGAGTGCTTACTTGCTCTTTCTGCCTCTTAAACAGAATTCTGTGCTTCATTGAGGCTTATATGTGGACATATAACTTTCAGAACATTCATTACCACAGGCTTTTTGAAGTACTTTTGCATGGTGAAATAGGAATAAATCTCATGTCATTTAATCCAAAACTGTAATAGAGAGTTATTGTGCATTTCATGAAAGTTATTCAGAGAACATATAATTTTTCACTGTAGTTAACTTAAATTGCATTTTTTGTTTCCCTAAGTAATCTTGCAACATTCTATAAAGGTTAATATGAAAATATAATTATCTTGTAATTTATGTCCATTTTTAAATGGGGATGAGGCAGGTAAATAAATATTTGAAAATTACATTTGATTGGCTTTCTCAAAAAGAGATATACTTACAATTGTATCTCATAAATTTTGACCTAAGTTCTTTCAAATTAAATTCCAAGTGTGAAACTTACACTGGAGTTTGCTTGTTGTCAGATAAACTTGTTGACTGGTTAATAAATTATGTAAAGTTCCATCTTTACTTGGAAAATCTATAATATGCTCATCATAGGCATTTTATACATGTGTATTATTTGTCATAAAATAAGATTTTCAGTTCTTTTTTTGGAAAGCTTCAGAAAAGAGATTCCTTTTTCAGAACAGATTGGGGATCCATGACCATGCAGCTCCAGAGCTATGCAGATATCAGCATGCAGGTTGATGTTAGTGAGGAATGGCACAGTGAACTTTGCCTTGCATCAGTTAGATAAAGCAAGCATCATGACTATTTGCATTTATTTTATTTAGTTCAATTTTCCATTTGTTGAGACTTACACTGTTGAAGAAGTAAGAGTTCGTCCTAGGAATAGAACCAGTGGATACAACCCAGAGGAGGAGGAGGGGTCTCATGAAACGGCTTCAGAAGATGGCTTCCCCTGGAATGTAGATGGTGATTTAATGTGGGTTCCATCCGAGGTCCATGTGAGGTGAGTCTCCTCATTTCACTGCATTGTATGTTGATCTGTTCACTCAAAACTTCAAGTATAATGAAAGCCGCCTTCTTTATCAAAGCAGGCAGTTAAAGTAAAAAAATGTCAGTAAATCGGGGAAGTAGAAAGGATTCCTATGCAACTTTCACTGAAGTATAACTTCATGGTTATTTGCCAGCTTTTATGTAGAGCAATGATATTTTTGTTTTAATGAAACATTAAACATTCTAGGTTTTTTTTTTTTTTTTTGACAGGCAGAGTTAGAGAGAAAGGTCTTCATTTTCTGTTGGTTCACCACCCCAAATGGCTGGCGCACTGCGCCGATCCAAAGCCAAGAGCCAGGTGCTTCCTCCTGGTCTCCCATGCGGGTGCAGGGCCCAAGCACTTGGGCCATCCTCCATTGCCCTCCCGGGGCCACAGCAGATAGCTGGACTGGAATAGGAGCAACCGGGACTGGAACCCAGGGTGCCGGCGCCGCAGGCAGAGGATTAGCCAAGTGAGCTGAGGCACCAGCCAAACATTCTAGTTTTACATGCTAAGTTATTCTGCAGAAATTATACAGACAATGTGTCTACAATTTCCATTTTAGATTTTAAAAAATGAATCGAGATTTTAAATCTTTGTGAAGCCACCTCAGTAGTAGACTGAATTCAATCCTGTAGTCTTGTAGTTTTTCTCAAACTGATATCATTGTTTTCTTTTTAGAAGTTTGCTTTAATCAATTCTTTGCAAAGCATTCCACTTATATGACATAAGAACAATTTTGCACATTACGTAAGAAATAAGAGTGATAAACAAATTTAGGAACATGCAAATGTATTTTGGGAAAACCTTATGAAATATTAAATGTATCCAATGGCACCTACGAGATGAGTGTTCTACAGACACAATGGACTTTTTCAAGGCAATGCAGAGTACTGGAGAGTAATTATTGGTATTATGTGCCATACTCATTAGTTGTATACGTCTGTAAAAAAAATTACAATGGTAGTTGAATAAATAATAATTACACATATTCTTTTCTTTGTAGATTGCATCCAAGACTTATCAGTCTTTATGGAGGCACCATGGAAGAGATGAGTGATTCTAAAGAAACATGTCATTGTTTAAAATAGTAATGTGCAAACCACAATTTCAACATGAAGGAATATGGTCATGCTATCAATTGATATACTAGAAAAAATCTCTTTAAAAGAAAATTACCATTTCTGATGTTCCTAAAAAATAGCCAAGGCTATAAAAAATCAAATGGAAAACATGAAAAATACCAGTAACAATTTAAACTCACGTTTTTCGAAGTATTTACTGGGACTGAAAGGAGATGTTTTATAAGCTTAGGCATCATCATGATATATTGATATTTTGATTCTTTCATTTTCAGGAGTTGAGCTCCTCTAACAGAGCACAGGAAATAGGACTGACCTGATTTTATTGAGGAGGCTTCAAAATCAGTAGTGGCATAAGGAGAACTCCTTTTCCAAAATCTTTACAGTATTGAGACTACTTACCAAGAAATAACTCAGTTTTGTAAAGTGGCGATGTTCATAACAAATTTTATTTGGAACTATGCAAAACATTTTTCAAACTAGGCAATATTCATCAGCTCAGTCAGTAGCTGTGTTTATTTTCAATGTAAAGTGGGGCTTCAATTTTCATCCATGATTTTATACATGCTCTTGAAAAAGCTATGTGAGCTTACATACTGTTAAAACATTAAATTATCTAAAAGTATTCAAAAGTTGATATCTGTTGGTATATATTCTGAGGTCACTGAGTTTTGTGATCTGTATTTTCATAAATTACAAAACCTTAATGGCCAATCATTGACAGGAACTTCACAGAAAAATCTTAACCCTCTATTTTGTCTGATCACTTTTAACAGATGTTCAAAATTTGACCACAGCTTTCCTAGACAGATGAAGTTATATTCTATAATTAGCAGTACCCCGAGTATATGAAATAAATATTACAACACTTCTACTTGCAAATGAAAAGGTATTTAAAGATATATTACTTAAAATCCAAATAGAACGTCAAGTATCAACAAACTGTTTATCACATTTATATTCATTGTATACAAGTTGGTATTTTTCAGTTTATGAATTTTGTTTTTCCATTTCAATGCAGAAGAGTATGCTTTCATAGACCTGATTAAAATATGTATTTGAAAATAACACCTAAGCAAATGCTTGTCATTTTTTAATTTTAGGCAGTCAGTATAGTACCCAATATGTATAAATATTGACTTTTTCCTTTGCACAGCTCTAACATTTTAAAAATCATCCGTGAGGTACAGTTTTCATGTTTTTGACATCAGTGTATACTGGCTAAAGTGCAACAGTTGTGTCTGTTGTTTAGAATATAAATTACGATGCCTAAAAAATGATCTCCTGGGTATGCTTGGATAAAGTTGTACTAGAGGAGACTGGTGGATTTTATCTTTAAAACGTGTACAGAAGGGAAATCCATAGATGTACAAATAGTAATTATTGAAGTCATCACGTGAAGCTCAAGCCAGTGTATAAGTTCCTTCTGAAGTTCGCTCATCAGGCCTGTAATGTTCATAGACTTCTGAATAATGTAATTGTTGGCACAAGGTCCATAGGAAACGTGTTACAAATAAAAAGTCTTTAAAGATAAAATCTGCTTTAAAATAACAATGTCCTTCTTTCACTCATTAGAAACTTTGGGAACAACCCTTTGAAACATCTTAAGTATTTTTAAAGAGCACATTTGAAAATAAATCACTGTCCATTCAGTGAGGTTTATTTTACCCAGGTGAGCACATATGGTTAATATTTTTTAAGAAGATATTTCAAGTCCAAAGCTTTATCAATCAAGTTGTTTATTTCCTGAATGACTCAATTCCGATATGCCTTCATGTCCAGATACCATCAAGGTTTACTTTTCTTGACTAAATTGCATGTGTTAGTGTTTCTCTATCCCCTTGACAGCTGAAAGATTATCTTTGGATATATTAACACTTCGGCAGTTTTCTTTCTCATTACTTGGAAGAAGCTTGAGCAAAATTCATGTTTTCTTGTAAACAGTGCTTTTTAGAAACCTGAGTCTTTTTCAGTTCTCTCAATGTGAAAGTAGTCTTTAATTGTCATTATTGCTTTTGACATAACTCCAACTGTCTCTTCTATTTTCTTCTTGTAGGATTGATTTGTACTGTCTTTTAAAGAAGCCAGCCTGAAAATATCATTACATAATCATTAGTGAGTTATAAGCATACTACAGTCACATCAAATAATCAGTAAAAATTGATGATTCAGTGCAGCACTTTTCAGTGTTACCTGAATGTGCAATGTTTTTCAGAAAAAAAATGTTTCAAAGCTACTGTTATAGAAAGGGTATTTTTGAAGATATATTAATAGTGATTATTTAATTCAATTCATGTTTTTAGGAAACAAAAAAAAAGAATGGTATTTGAGTAGTTTAAAGGCTTACCTTCCACATGACATATGAAATCAATAGAAGTACTATAAGTCCAAGTAGCAAACTGCTAGAAATAATCACTATAGTAAAATGACGTTTGGGTCTTTGATGATGTAGTCCTTCTAGCAAAACCTACATAAATCAAGCAAAATAAGGAATCATCAGTTTAGAAACTAGTTTACATTTTTCTTTGAAACCTCTTTCCAGTCTTTAGTAACTAGAATCAGCCGGAGAAGGGGGTTAGGCAGTTCTAATACTACCCCAGGAAACAGTGGTAGCTATTAATTTCATTCCATTCTTTTCTCACTGCTACCAAATTGACTTCCCTTAAGAGCTATCTATGCCATTCACTACTTCAGGTATAAGAAAGGGCAACTGGAAATGAAATATTCAAGGCTTTCCATGAGGTGGTTACACTGTAATTTACTGACTCAGGTTCTCCAAAGGAGGTAATTATAAACATCCTCCCAACATGGTTCTCCTACAATTTTAAAATCTCACTTAGAAGGGTAATCTTACATGTGCAACATTCTCTTCCTTGTTTAATTCAACAACTTTTGGATGCGGCTCTGGAAAAGCTGTCGCCCTTATTTCAAACTTGAGTGACGATGTCTCATCCTGATAAATAAAAGAAAGATAGTGGCCATGATGTATAGTTTTATTTCATGAATACATATTGATTTCTCATGATATTTACAAACCAGGTAAAGGTTTTCATAGATTCCTTTCACCCTTTGTAGTTAATACCAAGATCATCTCCTTAAGGCAAAGGAAGAATCATTGCAATTAAATTAAATTATTGATTTTTATTAAAAATAGGGCTTTTCAGATAACTTGATATGTTATACTACTGTAAGAAGTATGTTTAATAGTTTCCAATATTTTTCCTAGATACTTAATTTTTAGCCTCAAATAATACTTTCTTTACTTGAAAAAACATTCCTCAAATCCATCTTTTATTGCTTTCTAAATTAAATATGTACATATAATCTTAATTTCTTAATGAGAAAATGTGGCATAAATAGTTACAGAATTCAACTACAAAGTCAGTGGATGAGCTTTACTAAAGCAGGAACTTCATAACTCAGATTTAGATTGGTGGCTTTGCAGCTTCTCAGTATACTTGGGATTTATTTTAATGTATGTAGGAGATAAGAATATATTTTTCAGTCGGATTCTGGTAGAGGGCTATGAGCCCCCCAATTAAAATACTTTGTAATTCATTTTTAGTGCCAAAATGGTAAATAAGTTACATCTAGATCCAGAGAAGTTGCTACTGCCCAGGGGAGGGTTTTATCCCAAAGATACCAACAGCTAGAAGGCTGCTACAATGCACAAGAAAGCCCATACCAACAATCTTCAGTAACCTGGACCTTGACAGTATGAAAGGTGACCTGCCCACAACAGAGGAGATCTACCATACCCAAGTTGGTTGTCACCCTGGACTCTCACATCACCCTGAGTAATGACTAAAACTCCCTGACTCCACTAAGCCACAGAAGCATATTTCAAAGGTAAAAGCCATCAGAGGAGAAAACCAACAACGATTTCACAAATGCAGAAATTTAAAGGACAATAAAGCTCTTCCAAAAGACTCAGAGATTGATGAAATGCATGAAAAGGAATTAAGATTACTCAAAAACAAAGAGGAGCAAATTCATGAGTTAAAGAAACCCATACATGATACAGATGGAAAACTGTTGCCAGGAGATCGAAATATTGAGGAGAAATCAAAGTGAAATATTAAAAATGAAGAATTCAATGTCAATTAAAAATACAGTGGAAAAACTGGATTTCCACATGCAGAAGTATTAAGCAAGACCCCTACCTTACACAAAAATTAACTCAAAATGGATCAAGAATCTAAATCTATGACCTGATACCAGCAAATTACTAGGGGAAATACTGCAAAATATTGACATAGGCAATGATTTCTGGGAAAAGTCCCCAGAAGCACAGGCAATCAAGGAAAAATTAGACAAAATGGATTAATTTCAGAAGCTTCTTAGCCTGATGTAAACACTCTACCAAATGAATGGGAAAAAACATTTGTAAACTATGCAATTGATTAATAGCCAGAATTTATAAAAAGCTCAAATTCAACAACAAAACGAATAATGCAGTTAGGAAACAGGCAAAGGACTTTTACAGGCATCTTTCAAAAGGGAAAATCCAGATCAAAAACCACAATGAGGTTTCATTTCACCCCAGTTGGAAATAGCTATCATCCAAAAATCAAAACAGAATACATGCTGCTGTGAGGATGCAGGGGAAGAGGTACCCTATTACCCTATATTATTCCTGTTGACAGAAATGTAAACTAGTATAGCCATTCTAGAAGACAGTATGAAGATTCCTCAGAAATCTGAGAACTGATCTCTAGATGAGGCAGCCATCCCACTGCTGGGACTTTTCCCAAATGAAATGAAATCAGCATATGAAAATGAAGTTCAGTTCACAATAGCTAAGATATGAATCAACCCAGAAGTCCATCTGATGACTGAATACAAATTCCATAGTATATTTACACAATAGAATACTACTCAGCCATAAGATGAAATCCTGTGTTTTGCAACTGGAAACACTTCACTAAGCACAATAGTCAGTCCCAAAAAGACACAGCATTTGTTTTGCCTGATTTGTGGTAACATACAGAGTCCAAAAAATATATATGAGCAAAATTGACATTTTGAGATCTTATGATGGTGTACAGCCCTTGCATATATTCTTGAGGAACACTGGTTTTTCTACTTACTACCTGAATTCTTTTATAATCATAAGAGTATGTCATTGTAAACACTGAAAAAAAAAAAAAAAACAGACGGTAGAGTGGGAAATATGCTCTTAAATCTGTATATATTACTCTTGTTCACCTCACAAAAATAAAAGATTCAAAAAGTTATGTCAATAGATGCAGAGAATACACTTGATGAAGTTCAAACTCCTTTATTAGAAAAAGCCCTCAGCAAATTAGGTATAGAAGCAAATGCCTTGGGATTGGCACCGGGTTCTAGTCCTGGTTGCTCTTCCAGTCCAGCTGTCTGCTGTGGCCTGAGAAGGCAATGGAGGATGGCCCAAGTGCTTGGGCCCCTGCACCCACATGGGAGATTGGGAAGGAGCTCCTGGCAGCCATTTGGGAGGGTGAACCAATGGAAGGTAGACCTTTCTCTCTGCTGTCTCTCTCTCACTGCTAACCGTCAAATTAAAAAAAAAAATCTTTGTAAAAAGCAAATGCCTCCAAACTACACAGGCTCGGAGTGGTCATTGTGGTGCAGTGGAGTAAGCTACCATCTGTGACAATAGCACCCCACATGAGTGCACCAGGTTACAGTCCTGGCTGCTCCACTTCCAATCTAGCTCCCTGCTAATGCACCTATGAAAACAGGGGAAGATGGCCCAAGCACTTAGGTGCCTGCCACCTCCATGGGAGACCAGGATGGAATTCCAGGCTCGTGGGGTTGGCCTGGCCCAGTCCTAGTCATTGTTGTCATTTGGGGAGTGACTCAGTGAGTGGAAGATCTCACTGTCTCTCTGATTTTCAGATAGTTTTTTAAAAATTTTATTTGAAAGGTAGAGTTACAGAGTGGCAGAGAGAGCAAGGTGTTCTACCTGCTGGTTCATTCCCCAAATGGCCATAAGGGCCAGAGCTGGGGTGATCTGAAGCCAGGAGTTTCCTTGGGGTCTCCCACGCAGGTACAGGGCTCAAGGAATTGGCCTATCCTCCACTGTTTTCCCAGGCCATCGGCAGAGAGCTGGATGGGAAGTGCAGCAGCCAGGACTTGACCTAGCTCCCACCCCTCTGATAAATCTATGAAAACCAATAGCCAATATCATACTGAAAAATTGAAAGGACTGTCCATGAAATCTGAAAACAAGAATGTTCACATTCGCCACTCTTAATATAGTATTGAAAGTAACAGCAAGAGCAATTAGGGAGGAGAAAGAAAGAAAAGGCATCTAAGTTGCAAGGGAGAAAGTCAAAATGCCTGAAGATGTAATACATGGAAAAACCTAAACACTGTACCAAATGGCTGTTAAAACTGATAAACCAATTCAGTTAAGTCACAGGATATAAAATCTTCAGACATAAAATAGTAACATTTTTATACACGAGTAATTATCTTGCTAAAAAGGAAATCAAGAAAAAAACCCATTCACAATGGCTACAAAAATCATAATTAGGAATAAATTTAAAGAACTTAAAGATTTCTACAATGAAGCTTTTAAAACACTGTTGAAAGGAATCCGCAAGTATACAAAAAATGGGAAGATAAAAATGGGAAATAAAAGTACCATGTGATCCAGTGATCCCACTGCCGGGTATACACCCAAAAGACATGAAATCCTTTTATCAAGGAGACACCTGATTGGCCATGTTGATAACAGCACTGTTCACAACAGCCAAATACAGAACCAACCATGGTATCATCAGATTAATGGATAAAGAAAATATAGTACATATATACAATGAAATAGTATTCAACCATTAAAAAGAATGAAATTTTCTCATCTTGTCATTTTCAGCAAAATGGATGGAATTGGAAGTTATTTTGAGTGAAAAATGAGGTACAGAAAGACAAATACTTCATGTACTTTCTCATATGTGGGGGCAAAAAAGCAAATCTCATTCTATGGGTGGGTGTTCAGGCACCGCAGGTTACACTGCCACCTGTGATGCTGGCATCCCAGACTGGAGTGTACTGGTTCAGGACCCTACTGCTTTGCTTCAGATGTAGCTTCCTGCTAATACATCTGGGTAAGCGGTGTAAGATGATCCAAGTACTTGGGTCCTTGTCACCCATATAGGAGACCCGGATGGAGTTTCTGACTCCAGCCTGGCCTAACCCTGGCTGCTGAGGCCATTTTGGGAGTAACCAGCAGATGGAGGATCTCTGCCTTTCTAATAAATGTTTAAACAAAGAGACAGAACCACATTCTGAACTCAGAAGCTGAGAGAGTGGGAGTGACAGGAAGCGCTTGTATTAAAAATCATAGGGGAAGATGGATGTGGATCATCAGTTGTGACAGATGTACTAACATCAGATGTTCCTAATAGGGAAACTGGTTTTTCTTTGATTGTGACAAATGTATTATACTAATATAAGATGGTAATAAGGAAATCTGCCTTGTGATAAAAGAAAAGTCTTTGTGCTGTGAAATTTTGTTCTTTAAATTTAAAACCATTTCATCTGCGACATCACAGATAAAACTACTTTTATCCTCAAATATACATGTTCCTCTAGATGTGTGTGTGTGTTTTAAAGATTCATTTGAAAGGCAGAGTTAGAGAAGAAGAGACAGAGGTTTTCCATCTGTTGGTTGGATGGCCACAATGGCCAGGGCTGGGCCAGGAGGTCAGGAGCTCTATCCAGGTCTCCCATGTAGGAGCAGAGGCCCAGAAACTGTGGGCTATCTTCCGATGCTTTCCCAAGTGCATTAGCAGGAAATTGGATTGGGAGCAGTGGGGACTTGAATAGGTGCCCATATGGGATACCAGCATTGTAGAAGGCAGCTTAAACTGCTACATCACAACACCAGCCCCTAGATGTGTTTATTTTTTAATGCATCCTTTTAAATTTAATTATTTTAAAAGTATGTTTCATTTTTTGATTGTTGGTTAGGCTTAATGTTATGAAAGACTTCAGTTAGCTTTGTTTTTAAACTATGAGGGTACTTTAAAAATTTGTGGAGAAATGGCAAAGTATCAGTTTATTGTGCTGAAAAGAATTTAAAATCTCTGCATATTTCTATCTTCCATGAATGTCTTTGAAGTACTCTTGTATTACATTTTTAAGAATATTTTGAGGGGCTGGCACTGTGGCTCAGCGGGTTAACACCCTGGCCTGAAGCGTCAGCATCCCACATGGGCGCCAGTTCTAGTCCCGGCTGCTCCACTTCCGATCCAGCTCTCTGCTATGGCCTGGTAAAGCAGTGAGAAAATGACCCCAGTCCTTGGGCCCCTGGACCTGCGTGGGAGACCCGGAAGAAGCTCCTGGCTTCAGACCGGCGCAGCTCCAGCCGTTGCAGCCAACTGGGGAGTGAACCATTGGATGGAAGACCTCTTTTTCTCTCTGCCTCTCCTCTCTCTGTGTAACTCTGACTTTCAAATAAATGAATAAATCTTTAAAAAATATTTTGAGTATGCTTTCTAAAATATGCATCTTATATTCCATAGTCTTAGTCTTAAATATCTTAATTACTAAAGGTGTGTCCTTTGTAAATGCAGACAAATGATATGTAGAAATGGTTTAACTGCAACATTTCATTCATAACTTATTCATTTGTCAAATGCTACCATACCATCCCAGCTCTGTAAGAGGCTTGCATGAATAGATTGTGTATGAACGTATACAAAGAGTCATCACTGTATTTGAGACTTACCATTTCTAAAATGGACGGCCGGCCTTCCAGCTGAATGTGAACACTGGCTTCTTTTCCACTTTCCATTTTCCCAAAATTACATAACACATTTAAACAGTGTGGGTCAGCTTTTATGCAATACTTGAAGATAATATAAAAATGCTACATTAGAATTTTCAGCATTTAAATAATATGGTACATAGAATCCCTAGTGGCATTTAGAAAATTGTCTTTGCATAAGCATGGATTTAAACAGTGGCATTTAAAAACACTATCTTGCTTTAAACAAAACACAAATGTTTATTTTGAAAGCTATAATCGAAACAAAGCAGCCAAACTGGAGCATGTGTTCTCATCATTCTTACTAACTTAACCTTCTGGGATAGATTGAAAAGAAAAGATTCCTAATTAGTGCCTCGCTAAGTTCCATGTTCCATGTTTGTAGTAAAAGTTGGATCATTTGAAGGTGATGATTGCTTCCCTCATTTGACATCTTAGCAAATTTATAAAAGGAATGAAAATTAACTTCATGCTGGCCAGGTGAGCACCATGGCATTCTGATGGGTCTGAAACATTGTCTGGCTGACAGTTAATGACCATTTGGTAGATAAATAATGAAACTGTATGGATACTTCAAAAGTTTGCATTCCTGTGTCTGTTTTCTCATAATATGCATTTTCCATTTTCCATGAACTTTTTGGAGACCTTCCTATTTAAGCCTAGGTCTAAATCACAACTCCAAGCATACATGTCCCTTACACTCAAGAAAATTGCAACTTGTACTTTCTCCTACCCTTCAGCTGACAACTTCAATCCGTTGACTTCAGGTCTTAAGTGTGTCTTAAGTTCTGTTGAACAACAGAAACTTACCAACAGCCTCTTATCAGTCTTTGACAAGAACGTGAATATGCCTTTCAAGGTCTCCATGGCACCCTTTGGCTGCTCTAATGCACATTCTCTTTGATAAGTTTCAAAGAAGCATTCTCCAGTGGTCATCTATGACAGTAAGTAAGAAAAATCTTTCATCATGGGAAGGAACGCACACAGCATGCTTTTTATGAGTCTTAATTTCTTATGTTTCCTAAAATATATCAAGGACCTCTGACATTGTGAAAATACCTTTGGACAGGTTATTGGAAAGAGATTACACTTCTGTGGCAAAAAGAGAAAATCCAGCAAAATTGTAGGGGGGTTGAATATATGTCCTAGGCTCAAAATAGTCTTAGCCTTGAGGAAATATAAAAAAAATGATGTTTGAACATTGACATGAAGTTAATATAGGTTATAGTCTACAAATCTGGAGTTCATGTAAGATATTAAAACTCTTACTCAAACCCACTCAGCACATTCATTTCTTGGTTGCTTGTCTTGAAACTGAGAAACAAAAATAGGTCTGATGTAATGAACACAAAAATATCAGTTGTTAAAAAGTGATCTGAGTGTTACTTCCTTTTAAAGAGCGTTAATTGTGATCTTTCAACAATGGCTTCAAGATTTATGGAGAATTCTACCCAAACTACTCTCACAGGTGTATGTCACATTTTAATGTATCTTAAAAACAATAAAGATGGCAGAGCATAGTTCTGTTACTGTGTCAAGTATAGAAGTTCCACTGTATTTCTACAAAGCATATTCAATAAATGCATCATGACTTCACAGCTTTGAATGTGGCTGAAATAAGAGAAATCTGTGAGATTACTTAAAGTATAGGTTTGCATTTGTTTCAGTATTTAAGGCACACCCAATAAAGGTCTGAGAGAAGAAACTCATTTTTACCTGGACATCCAAAATGTTGAACAGTTTATTGGTTTGGGGCATAAAAGAATTTGGTACCATTATTTCCATGCTTACATTTGGAGCCATGCTATTGCCAGTGTTAATAACCTGGAAAGGAAAGGTTTAAAAAATCATTTTCAATGTTTTTCATAATTGTGAGTATAAAAATCATAGAGCTTGTAGGTCACCTCTTATATTCCCTGCAACATTTGTGATCTTGGAGTTTTATAGTTGGCAGCTGCACAGTGAACGCAAAATACCCATGGTCATAATTTTTAAAGTTTACTAGTAATTTCAAATTCTAGTCAGTTTTTGTAGCCCTCTTTAGGCATTTTTAGGCTGATAGTTTCTTCTAGAAACTGTCTCGAGATTGAGATATCAACAGCAATACACATTATGGATTCGATTTTTTTTCTGAAGGAGTTTCTTAGTTTTTTTCCTGGGACAGGCAGAGTGGACAGTGAGAGAGAGACAGAGAGAGAAAGGTCTTCCTTTTGCCGTTGGTTCACCCTCCAATGGCCGCCGCTGCAGCCGGCGCACCGCGTGTGATCCGATGGCAGGAGCCAGGAGCCAGGTGCTTTTTTCCTGGTCTCCCATGGGGTGCAGGGCCCAAAGCACCTGGGCCATCCTCCACTGCACTCCCTGGCCATAAGAAAAAAGTTGGCCTGGAAGAGGGGCAACCGGGACAGAATCCGGCGCCCCGACCGGGACTAGAACCCGGTGTGCCGGCGCCGCAAGGTGGAGGATTAGCCTATTGAGCCACGGCGCCGGCCACATTATGGATTCTTAAAGTAGCATTTGGTCTTCATAACTATCTTGTGAAGTGGGCCAACATTACACCCTTTACCAGCACAGAAAAATTCTAAGAAGTGTCAGGGATATTCCCAAAAGGAAAGATAAAAAGTAACTAATTTGGGGCCTGTGCTGTGGTATAGTCAGACTAAGCCTCCGCTGTAGCACCAGCATCCTATATGGGCATTGGTTTAAGTCCCAGCTGATCCTCTTCCTACCCAGCTCTCTGCTATGGCCTGGGAAAGCAGTGGAAGACGGCCCAAGCCCTTGGGCCCCTGCATCTATGTGGGAGACCCAGAAGAAGCTCCTGGCTTTAGATGGGCCTAACACTGGCCATTGCAGCCATTTGGGGAATGAACCAGCAGATGGAAAGCCTCCCTCTCTCTAACTCTGCCTCTCAAATAAAATCTTTTTTTTTTTAATTTTACAGGCAGAGTTAGTGAGAAAGGGAGACTGGGAGAAAGGTCTTCCTTCTGTTGGTTCACCCCTCAAATGGCTGCCATGGCCAGCGCACCATGCCGATCTGAAGCCAGGAGACAGGCGCTTCCTCCTGGTCTCCCATGCAGGTGCAGGGCCCAAGCACTTGGGCCATCCTCCACTGCCTTCCTGGAACACAGCAGAGAGCTGGATTGGAAGAGGGGCAACTGGACTAGAACCTGGCACCCATATAGGATGCCGGCGCTGCAGGAGGAGGAGTAACCAAGTGAGCCACAGCGCCAGCCCCTAAATAAAATCTTTTTAAAAAGGTGACAAATTCAGGGATTCGAGCTCCATATCCTGTGTTTTAGGATCACTGCATGCTAACCAGATGATCAGTAATAAGTGACTGAAATTTATTTTTAAAAAACAGAATGTTACTGAGTTCTAGGAAACTATAACTGGTTGTTGTTTTTTTTTTTTTGTTTTTTTGTTTTTTTGTTTTTTTTTTTTCAGAGTGGACAGTGAAAGAGAGACAGAGGAACAGAGGAAAAGGTCTTCCTTCCATTGGTTCACTCCCCTAACGGCTGCTACATCCGGTGCTATGCCGATCCGAAGCCAGGAGCCGGGTACTTACTCCCAGTCTCCCATGCAGGTGCAGGGACCCAAGCACTTGGGCCATCCTCCACTGCCTTTCTGGGCCACAGCAGAGAGCTGGACTGGAAGAGGAGCAACTGGGACAGAACCGGCACCCCAACCGGGACTAGAATCCGGGGTGCTGGCACCGCAGGTGGAGGATTAGCCAAGTGAGCCACGGCACCAGCCACCACCATCACATTCTGAGATGAGAACTCTTTGGGACTCCAAAGTAGAGTGCTAATTTGCTTCAACACTAGTGTGTACAGTGTAAGAACAAGCTGATGATACACAGCATCCATAGAATTTCAAGGTCATTCTTTTCCATAAAGGAGAACAGTGCCCAGGAACTTGCAATTTGATAGTTACTCCAATTTAGTTTAATGTTCATTTTCAAAAGTATTGCCTAAAACATAATACCTAATGGAAGAACCACATTTTTTGAATTACAATGTAACTTTAAGAATGTTTGTATCATGATTTAGGCTCAAAAGCTACTTTCGAGAAATTCTCTGTATTTACACATCAATGAAAACCTCAATTTGAGAGTAAATTTTTAAAAGTTTTTTTTATCAATGTTCATAATTCTAGATAAATATAGCATTTTTTTTTGTTTTCAAGTACACCACTCAATAAACAAATGACAAAGCACTTGTCACAGGTCGTAAATCTGTGGCTTAATAAGTCACCCAGTTGACTATATATAGAAATAAAAAATAAGAGCTTTCTTTAATTGGTAATATTAAGGCTTCTATAAGAAGAAACTTCACTGATTTAAAGATTCCTTCCCTTGGTCTATCCTGTTTTCTGTGTACGTCTCTAGTAGATTCAGCTCAACCCCAATTTTGCCTGTTTTTGGCATTATCTCTGTTCCTTCTGGCTCTTTCCCACTTGTCCTGTTAGGAGACGTAGGTTTCAGTACCAGGGACAAGGCAAATGGGAGCAAAAGCCGCAGAGCCTGAGGGGAAAGAGTTTGCATGATAGGGCAGCAGCCCTTTCCAGAAGCAGTGGGCAGGAAGACTGAGAAAGACTGTAAGTGTAAGATGTCTGGAGAACTATGTTCCACACCAGTTACACCCTTTCTGGTTGTTACAAACATCAACACAATCAACTTTTCTTACATGGAATGTGAGATTCATTTTCTCTGTCATGCATGTTTCATGGTCATTTTCCTCACTTGATCCATACACAAAGGAAGTTGGGTTGACAAACCTGTCAGAAATAAACACAAATGTAGTTGAATGTCTAATCTGATGAGCTGTTGTCAAAAGAGTTACTCTCTATATTTGGATTATAGCGTATTTTCAGCATTATTATGGAATACTTTGTAACTTGAACATTTCATTGAAAAATAATGCAGTTGGGTGGCCAATCATCCCCTGACCTGGGCCACAACATCTAGTCTTACTGATAATGTTTTCATGCCTTCCCCAACCTTCCCTGTTCACTTCCCTGACCATTCCATCACTTTGAGCCCTTAAATGATTCAAGCAAGACTGCAATGATGGGATCAATTCTTAGTTTTCCTTTTCTTTAAGTCTCATGTCTTAAGATATAATCTAACATACTTTTAAGTTACTTCTTTCCAATCCTTAATTCCTGTTGGTTCTTTGTAAAGAATTTTAAGTCTAGAAAGCAACTGAAATAGGTATGACACATTTTTTCTTTGAATATAAGGATGATTAGCCATAGGAGGGTACCTCAAAAAGTTTGTGGAAAAATGGAATTAAGATAAATTTAGCAGTAGCACAGTGGGTTAGGCTGTTTCCTCATCCTGAATGAGGTCCAGTTTGAGTCCCAGCTGCTGCACTTCCAAACCAGCTCCCTGTTAATGCACCTGGGAAAGCAGTGGAAGATGGCCCAAGTGCTTGGGCACCTGACACATGGATGAGGTTCCAGGCTCCTAGTCTCAGCTTGGCCTAGCCGCAGCTGTTGCAGCCATGTGGGGAGTGAACCAGTGAGTAGCATATCATTCTGTGTCTCCTTCTCTCTCTGTAACTCTGCCTTCCAAATAAATAATTTATAAAAGATTGTATTCATTTATTTGAGAGGTAGAGTTACAGAGAGAGGGAGAGACAGAGAGAAAGGTCTACCATCTTCTGGTTCACTCCCCAAATGGCCACAATGACCAGGGCTGGGTCGATCCAAAGCCAGGAGCCAGGAGCCAGGAGCTGCTTTTGGGTCTCCCACACGGGTGCTGGGGTCCAAGCACTTGGACCATCTTCTACTTCCCTCCCAGGCCATAGGAGAGAGCTGGATCAGAAGAGAAGCAGCCAGGACTAGAACCAGTGCCCTTATGGGATGTTAGCACCACAGGTGGACTCTTAGCCCACTATGCCACAGTGCTGGTTGCCATAAATAAATCTTTAAAAAATATATACATTTTGGTACAAAAAGATCTGGGGGGCTGGCAGGACACCAGTTTGAGTCCTGGCTGCTCCATTCCAATCCAGCTCCCTGTTAATGCACCTGGGAAAGCAGCAGAGTATGGCCCAAATGCTTGGGCCCATGCACCCACATTGGAGTCTTGGAAGCGGTTCTTAGCTCCTGGCTTCAGAGTGGCCCAGCCTTGGCCCTCGTGGCTATTTGGGGAGTGAACCAGTGGATGGCAGATCTCTCTGTTTCTGTCTCTTCTTCTCTCTCTGTAACTCTTTCAACTAAATAAAATCACCAAAAAAAAAAAAAAAAAGATTTAGACATCTATGCATAGTTTTTCATAATATACAATTCCATGACCTTTTGGTGGTCCCTTCATATGCATGGATTTCAAAATTTTTGCACTAGAATAAACTTACTTTTTAATTCCATACTTTCCCATGAACATTCTGAGGCATCCTCATATATACAGTAAACAAAGAACTTTAATCTTTTTCCCAGGGAAAAAGATTGGAAAACATTCAATTTTCCAAGTTCCCTCCTATTTGTCAGCTAATATCTGGTAATATCAACTGAGAAACCCATTAAATGGGAATTAAATTAGAAATGTTCAAGAGGTGCAATTTAGGCAGTTCAGTAGTTAGAGAACACTGCTTGCCCAAAGTAAGGAGTTGTGAACAATGGAAAAAGAGGAGGGCACTCATCATCAGAAAACCAAGGGAGGCAGAACAAACACTGAGAGCCAGAACACATGCAATCAGCTTTATATTTTTTTCCTATTGACTTGAGGTCCTACTCTTGTCATGGCATCTTTTTTTCCTGTTGATCTCACTTGTTAGTCAATCCTATGACTTTCAGATGCTGGTTCTTTTCATTTATTTAGTTGTATGCCATTTTTATAGTGGCTAAAATGATTAGGAAATGGTTTATATTTAGAAAAATAAGAAAATCTCATCTACTTTGTTCTGAATCTTCTCTGGTGCTTTAAAAAAAGTAGTTTAATACAAAGACTAATAGCCAGCATAATTTCCACTGAAATAATTAAAGGTTTTCTTATTCTTCCCTTTCATTTCCGTATATAACTTCTCCCTGATTCATAGAAGGATCCACTCAATCACTAAAACCCTCAGGAAGCAGTGTATGTTGGCACCAGAGCTGTGGTCAAGGAACTCTGTCATCTCATAGATTTAGAGTGGACCAATGACATCCTGCTGCCATCTCTCTTATGTCTCAGTCCATTTGCTACTTAGGTAGATGCGGATTAAGGAGAGAGGTGATTTGGCCCAACTTCCCTGTCTTTGAACTTCACTTTGGCTTTAGAAAAACTGCATACTGCTGAACCTGGGGAGCCCTGAATTGCACCATCTACAACTGAAAGGCTGAACAGAGGGCCTGCTAGGAGCTTATGGAGGCTCCTCCAGTTAGAAATTTGATGTAGGACCAGCGACAATTAGAGAGTGGCTTACAGTAATAAACACCTAAGCAAAGGACTGCCAGATTGAGGCAACTGCTCAGAGAGAAATAGTATCCTTTTTCTTTAACTTCAAGCATGATTGTGTTATTAATGTAAACAGTAATGGAACTGACAGTCAACTCTAAACTTTACTGAACGCTTCTCTTATCTACTTACCCATGAGCAGTTAGCATAACCTCATACCTTAGAGGTATTGCTAAAGTCACTTTGTTATGCTTCAAAGTGTCCATTTCCCCTTCGTTTTCACTACAGAAACAAAGAGAAAATACCCTGTTAGAATCCAGGCATAAAAATAATCTTAGGAGAGAAATAACTACAGACTATGAATATGAAATATTTTTAGAGGTTAGTTTATATAGCACTTTCTAGAGTACAGGGATAAGAGTGGAAGCGACAACAATCCCCCATTCTTTAACCTTATCATGTGCTAGATAGAGGGGTTTGGGTTTCTCTTGGTACCAATTTTGAAAATAAATGACAAAAAAAGAAGGCTTCTCCTATAGACAATCAAAGGAACACAGATCCGTTGTTTTCCTTAAACCCTCTCTCCCCCCAGCTCCCAGGGCACACTTCCTCTAGCTCAGGCTGCTTCTCCGCAGTGAAACATACCATGTGGCGTGCACTGTGATGTTGACATCCTCCTCCGCTCTGCTGAGTGAACTCACATCCAGGAGGAAGCTGATATCTATCTGTACAACAGAGAAGGAAAGCTGCCTTATTTTTTTCTTTTTTACTCAGCTTGAATACAGTTTCATAATGTAAATGGTAGCTTTTCTTAGTAGTTTATGTTCTATGGAATGTAGACTTGAAACTACTCTCGAGGTGGAAGTAGCTTCCCCTTGGCAGGAAAGATACAGGGTAGCTATGGCGCTTGTGGCATTCATAGCGACAAGCAGCGTTTGGAGACAAAGCTGATACCGGGTGGAAAGACAGGCAGAACCAGACTGTCAACATTAAGAAATGCTTTCGCAACTCGAATGAGGACTCTTGCCAAAAAACACCTTTTTGAATAGCAGAGGTAACATGCCTGGCAGACAGGACCTCCTGGGGTTGGGCAGGGGGAGTGTTGAGGAAGGATGAGGAGGGGGTCGAATTCTGATTGACACATTCACATGCCCATCTCAGTATAAACATGCGCTCCGCTCCCCTTTTTTAAACAGTGAACATTGCCAGGAATATAAACACAAAGCTCAAAGGTTTCAAGCCCAGTTGGTTTGGCTTCCATTGTATCACCTAGCCACGTACTCTAAGTTAGAAAAAAATTAGAGATTTGCATGCAGCATGAAAACAGTGGAAAACAGAAGAAAACAGTCAGTCAGTAAACCAAAGCCACAGATGCTAATCACTTACCCTTGAGAGATGATCTACATAGATATAACCAACACTGCAGTCAAGTTTTACTGGGCCAGAGCTTTCTGTTACTTCACAGTTTATTTGTTTCTCTTCCTAAAAGGGAAAACAACAGCCACAACAAATAATTCTGTTAGGAAGTGAAGTAGTAGTTTATAACATTCATTTAAGGATGATTTTTTTTAAACAGAAAATCATCCCAGAAGAAGTTACTTTCCTAGAAAACCCTTTCCTGTTTATTTTTAGGATAAACAGATATATTAATAAATAATAAAAATATGTGCAGATATATGCATATCCTAACATTCCTGTAAATTCTTCACAAAAATTTCCTATACTTTTAGCTTTCATTCATCTTGATTTATTTCCTATTTTATCCCAAGCCTAATTTCTTGAACAAATCATGAGACAAGGAAAGTGGAAAGTCTTACTTCCTTGATCTTCATCTGTCTTGTATGTGAGTCTATATTCGAGGCATTTAATCACAATAGGGATATTTTAAAAAAAATATACTACTGAGGGGCTACCATATAGGTGCTGGTTCTACTGCCAGCTGCTCCACTTCTGATCCAGCTCTCTGCTATGGCCTGGGAAAGCAGTAGAGGATGGCCCAAGTACTTGGGCCCCTGCACCTACATTGGAGACCTGGAGAAAGCCCCTGGCTCCTGATTGGCTCAGCGCAGGCTGTGTGGCCATTTGGGGAGAGAAACAACAGATGAAAAACCTCTCTTTCTGATTCTGCTCCTCTGAAACTCTGCTTTTCAAATAAATAAATCTTTAAAAAATAAATATATACCACCTGCCACCTCATATTCCTCCTTTTACTTTTGCAAATAGGCTCATTATACACCAGAGAAAGGAGGTAGCAGATATCTTTGGGAAGATAAAGGCCAATCAACACACCCTTAGTGTGAAGACTAAGACTCACACCCAGTTATTTATAATACCTCAAATCAGTGAAGTGAACTGTATCATTTACTTTCTAAAAATGAAGTGAAATACTCAGTGGTGGCATACTATTGTAGTTACAACACTCACCAGGTCTAAAATCTTAATGAAGTACAGCCCCATGGGCAGTCTGATGTGCAGAGTTGTTCCGTAAGCATCATCTCCAGCATTGAACAATGACACATTCAACATTAACATCTTCATGCCTCCAACAGCAAGGTAGGTTTTATTTTCATGTGGCCTAAAGTTAGGAAGTAATATTTAGCTCTTGATTAGGAAATAAAAATCCCATCTTCATATATGTACATACACACACACACACACACAGATATATATACATTTCTGTTGAACATAAAATATTAACTTAGAAAAGCTACCATGGGAATAACCCCAAACAAGCAGATATTAATTCATATTAAAAAGAGCTCTTCAGTTTATCATGTTTGAGGTAAATTCGGTCAGCTATTACCTAAGAAAAGTTTGGCTTTTTTATTAGTTTAAATCATGTCAGCCTTACTGTTTTCCTTCATTTCTGATTAGCTTCTGCAATTTTAACATCTTCCTCATTATTTTACAATGTGCTCAAAAGGAAAAGCACTTTTTAAAAATTTTCTTTTAGACTGGCACTGTGGTGAGGCTGGTTAATCACATATAGTTACTAGTTTGAGTCCCAGCTGCTACTCTTCCAACCCTACTCCTGCTAATGTGCCTGGGAAAGCAGCAGAGGATGGCCCAAGTGCTTGGGCCCCTGCACCCATGAGGGAGACCCAGATGAAGCTCCTGGCTTTGGCCTGACCCACCCTTGGCCATTCCTGCCATTTGGTGAGTGAACCAGAAGATGAAATCTATCTAACTCTGTCTTTCAAATAAATAAAATTTTTTAAAAATATATTTCAGTCCTTGAATGGGCATTGAATTAGTTGCTGCCCAAACCAAAGGGTAAAGATTAGGAAACTGGAAGAAAAGGTGAATGAAGAAGGAATGGAAATCACAGATAAGAACTACCATTTCCAGTGAGGGAGTGACACTTAGAGCAGGCTGATTGACCACCTATCCCAATAACTATGCCAAACTGAAAATGGAATTGCAGTAGAGGAGCATCTGGCCTAACAGTTAAGACTTCTGTTAGGACCCATGCATTCCATATCAGAGTCCCAGCTCTGTTTCCAATTCTAGTTTCCTGGCAATGCAGAACTAGGATGGCACCAAGTGATGGCTCAAGTAATTGGTTCTTGCCACCCATGTAGGAAACCTAGCTCGAGTTCCTGGCTTTGGACTGGACCAGCCCTAGCTATTGTACACATTTGGATATCGAACCTGCAGATGGGAGCTTTCTGTCTCTTAATAAAATAAAATCAAACCACCAGAATTGCAGAAATGCTTCACTCTCCTGGAAATTGTAAAAAGAATGCTGCAAAACTAGTTGTAAGTATCAGTTCAAATCCTGGCAATTAGGCTGGTTCACTGGGTAGGGGGTGTCACTTGGCATTTTAAAGCCTTGGCCACCCCATCTGTAGTAACAACTATTCAGTGAAGATTTGGGTCTTGCACGTTCCATGAAATCCTCAGAGCATATAAATTTAAGAAACTTGAGGCTTAAGGAACTTATTCAAGGGCTACTATTAGAATGTTCTAATACCATAATTCCAAATTTCTGCACAGCCCATTCTCTATTCCTAACGAGATGGTTACAATAGCTAAATGCCATGGACTCTCAGTTACAGTATGTTAGGATTTTACAAACTTTCACCTAAAGACAATAAGTCCTGAAATCTGAAAATTTAGAAAAATTACTCAACTAGAGAAAGATGTGACCCAGAGCAAAATATCAAGTGAGGATATTCATAAGCATATGAAAAATAAAAGCTCTCCTGACACTTTGGAATTTTGAAAGCTTCTTTAATAATATTAAGTTTCTGAAAGCTTTGTGTTTGAATAAACACTTCATGGAAATACTAAACATAGAATGGGCACTTAATAGCTATTTATAGATTGATTAAAGAAAAATGGTAAGTAGGACAGAGTTTGGCAACATGTCTCAACTTTTCTGCTTTTAAGCATTACTTGAATATGCTAAATGGCTGACTATAACTGAAAATTCCTATACAATAAATCAGGTGCTGTGTCCATTGCTCCCTAATACAAAAATACTTAACACACATTTCACTCTCTCGTACAGATGATACAATAAAGGACAGATTTGTAAGTAAACAGGTATTATAAATACCAAGGAGAGAGTTATGAGCTAAGCTATGGAAGAACAGGGAAAGGAACCACTCTTGCCTGAGGCTAGTGAAGACATATTACTCTTTGCTTTTCTACTATTAGGACTATTTGGATTGGTGGTTCCAAGGAAGACTTTTTTTCATTAAAGTAAATCTCATGTTTTATGATTGAACCTGAGTTAATTTGGATTACATACAATTGGTTTTTCTGCCTGAAGTCTTTCTCCTTTCCTCTAATCCAGTCTTCACACTGCCAGAGGGTCCTTTTCAAGAATGCAAACTAGACGTCCCATGTCTGTTTAGTTCCTTTGAGTGTTTCAAAATAAGAGCCTCAACTGCTAGCCTGACATCAACAGCGGGTCCTCCATGCACTTTCGACTGTGCAACACACTGCTTTGCTCTTCCCATACATTCCTACAAACAGGTGTCCAAACACACCAAGATATTTTATGTCCTACTTTCATCTATTTCTTTGCCTTTAGCACCTTTTCTCCATGCACCTGACTAACTTGTACTGGGTCCTCAAGTCTACGTTTAAGCATCAGTAATTCATAGAGTTCTACTCATTACTGACCTCCTTTATGCTTCCCTGTTTTTCCCCTAACTAGCGAAGCTGGTGGCTTCTCCTTCCCCAAAGCACACCAGCAGTCTCTGGAATACAGTATTTTTACGTAGTTTCTCTAAGCACTTCTCTAAATTCTCTTGCAGGAAAGACACTGGATCATTATATAATAATGGTTTTCTCAGATCCTAGCAACAGTTAGTGTTCAAAACAAATGTGGGTATATGTGTATATGGATCAAACATAAAAGGACTTGGGTTACACTCAAGAAAAAAAAAAACTAAGAAATCACTGGTTGAGTTATTGCTTATTTAAATTTCATGAAATCATAAATATACATTCTGTTAAACTAGAACTTTATAGCTATGTTTATCTGTTCCAAGATGACATTCAGATTCCAAATGTTACATTAACACCAGAAAGTAATATCCAGGACTACCACATTCAAGGGATCTGTACCCTAACCCACACATCATTATAGAACTATGGAAAAATCAATACTGGAAGGGGAATGTGGTTTCTGAAAAACAAATTATTAGTTCTTATGAACCTCACAATGTGCAAACAAAAGGAAAATTTTTAACACTCTCTCCCACTTTCATAATTTGAACAAAGCTGAAAGAAACTGTATACTTCACCTAATACTTAGGATTTTTTCTACTCAATCTGATTTGTTTTCATTTTGAATACATTAAGAAAAGTATAACATGTATACAGAAATGCACATATCCTAAATATACAGCTCATTGATTTGACCAAACTGAATACATGCATAATTCAGGTACCTAGATTAAGAAAAAAGTTTTATCAGTACTATATAGAACCCCTGTGGCACCTCATTCCTTCGAGTTACTGCCTCAACCTATTAACCTGATTTTTTATTGTATAAGTTGGGTTTACCAAGTTTTATACTCTAGAATATTTAATCCCTGAGTATCTCTTCTTTGGTGGGTGGCTTCTTTTATTCAGAAATTTTTGTGAGATTAATCCATATTGATACATGTAGTTGGAAAGTTTTCTTTTCAATGGTGCATATATTCCATTTTATAAATAGGCCAAATTTTACTTATCTATTCAGTTATCAACAGGAATTTTAGAAATTTGCAGTTTATAATTTTATAGACTTTTGTTGAATATGTATATATATTTATATCAATTATCTGTATCTATCCATATTTATGTTTTCTAGGAGCAGATTTTTATGGTTTGCTTAAACCAGGATTAATTCCTTAAAACCTCTTATTTTATAGTTTAAGTTTTTCTAATAAACTATAATTAAATAACAAAATATACTATTAGGAATTACTTTTAAATAAGAAAATGTAAGTTTATTGCAGAATTTCCATGTAAGAAGCAAGAATATTACATAGCAGTGGTCCATAAAACACTGCTTACAGCCCTGTGTCATATCTCTGATTTGTAAATAGAGTTTTACTGGAACACAGCCTTGCTCTACTTTGTTCTGTAAAAGTAGAGATAAGTTTTGAACAGACATCGTTGTTTTACAAAAGCTAAAATTTATCATCAGTCTCTTTACAGAAAAAGTGTGCTGGTTCCTGCTACAGACCAATCTGATTAGTGAGTATAGTTTGAAAATAAACATACAACATAGTCTTACTAGACTTAATTAATATCTTGTCTATATTATTCTGGTTCTAATAGAGACTCCAGTATTGCAATGGCTTAAGATGAAGTCATTTATCCTCACATGCCATACAGCATTTGAGAAAGTAACATCCTAGACCATATAACCCTTTAGTGCTTCTGGTTGTAACATCTCTAGTTTCTGATCCTTGGGTTTGAAAAGTTAGATGATTGCCAGAACAATATGTAATAACTAGCAAAGCAGTAATCCCAAACACTGTTGATCATTTCAAGGTAGAGTTCAACTGGTTGTATGCTATCCCGACATTTTAGAGAATGGCTATGGTTTACTCATTCCTGTGTAGTAAACTTTTAGATTAAGTCAGTACATGTTTGCTTGGTGGCATGTTAAAAGGAAGAGAGAAAATATGTGGGAACATGGCTGTTCTACATTCCCCCTGCTGTTCTGTAATCGTGTTATAACTCATGGCACCTAGGAGTTTCTAAAAGTAAACTTCAGATGCACATTAAAGTTTAATTAAGACTTGTAGAAGAGTTGTTTAGAAATAGACATTTATAAAATATTCTGGCTTGTAACCAAGGCATTAGTCACTGAACACCTTTGGGAAAGAAGTTGGCACTTAGACAAGCAACAGAAGGTGAAAGCAGTGCATAAACAGCTAGGTTCCAAGACAACAGCAAATTAAAGAGGAATGCAATTTTCAGAACAAAACTGGGTTTATTTTCCATTTTTAAGCCACTCTGCCACATTACCATAATTACAAATCAACTCTTTTTAAAAAATATATAACTTACTGTATCTTGATTCATTAACAAGATGCAGTCAAAGGGATACCCACCAGCTTTTCA